AAATTGAACGAAATATAATCAGACAATGAATGCATGCATGCAGGAGCGTCAAAGCGACTGAAAAAGTGAGGGTGCCCATGTCAGTGCCATTGAGTGGAGATACGACGCACCATGAAGCTTGCTACTCCAGAATTTGTTTGTATTATAGGGTTTCTGAAATGGTACTCCCTGTATTGTAGAGAATATATTTAGAGAAAGCACCATAAAATACTCTCAACTGTCACAGTTATAGGCTGTTTCATCATGCTCCAGTCCAGCGCAAATTGCTAGAGGGCATATATATGTGGACAAACGAGTCTCATTTTCTGACCTCAGTCAGCTTTTATGTTGAAGTCTCCTCGAATCGCTTGAAACCCAACCATATAATAATACTGTTACTATAATAATAATAACTTTTAGCCTTGCATGTGAAAACTGGAGGGATGAAACACATCCTCCCGTTATCCCCACCATCACACCCATGAAGTTTCCAATGGCTCCAAATGAACGTGACAAATCAGAAATATCCAGAAGAAATAGTGATCATTTAACACCAATCAAGCCACTCATAAACGCTTCTTTGGTTCTTAAGTACCTTTTCCGTTTTAAACTACTCTGTATAGTAATTGGTAATATAGAGGTTATTTATGCATTCTAATTGTTGCAAATTTTGAGCTATCCAAACAAAGACTAAACGATTTGTCATGAAAACAAAGTTGACCTAAACAAAGGCTGTGCATTTCTCACATACCAGTCAGTTATTATGAAAGTTTAAAAAAATTAAATATTTAAACGCGTTCAAACTTATGATTTAGTAACAGCATTGCATGAAGTAACATAAAATGTGATAACCTTTCAGCAACGGGAAACGTACATGCAACTACAGGGAAAAGTCTCGTTTACAAAAATCTTTAATACGATTTAAATAATCATTGCACATTCGGTATGCAATATACGTTCACCAAATACCCTGCTGCGCTATTCTTTGCACACTTAAAGTAAACGAAGCAATTTTATATAGATAATATCTCTTAATTCAAAACAACAAATCACATGCACGCAATTTTATATATCACTGTATTCAGAGTCTTCTTTAAATGGGTATGGAATCGCTGTCATGGCAAGCTCAAGACACTGGCAAATCATTCTTATTCAGATCCTCTTCACTAATCTTCATTTAACAATTCAAAACACTGATCAATATGACAAGGTAACACTATATCAATATATACGATTCAACTTTACGTTCTCGTTCATATCTCGCTCCACGACACTTCAAAGCTATATATTAAAATGTATAACATTGTAATAATCTCTGTGCATTTCGACTCTGCACTGTGTTCATTCAATTTTTATCTATTAACTATAATTGTATATTCTGTTCGACTGATATTTGAGTATGATGATAGTTTATATACAGCTTTGTAACATGCCTTACTCGATATTCGTATACACTTTATTTAGAAGCAGTAGGCTATATAGCACTAGAACAGTATAGCTAGCGGAAGAAGTAGTTGTAGTTGTGGCAACATTTTCACTATAGTTATCTAAGTTCGTAATCTTGCTGTCACTTTCGACTAAAAGCTAACCTCCAGTCCGCATTGAGACTTATATTGAATGCATTCTTAAGAACTTATTATTAATATTATTATTATTATATTTGTTCTAATGCCAATATCAGAGATAATTTGATGATCGTTCGATCGGTGTGTGCATGCAGCTGTGGGTGGCTATAACGTCTATAACAATTCGTCTGCGTAGCTATAACGACATTATACATATAGGCCCCTTATATAGTCCTTATATATACAAACATAACTTAGGTTAAGTTATCAATCAATTATAGCCCTTGAGAGAACATCCTTCAGATCCCCCTACTTCAACAGAATCATGCTCCCCTGGAATGACCTATACCCTCTGACATCAAGTCACCATCCTCCTTACAGTATTTGAAGCCAATTGAAACTTTTATGAAAATTACCTCAATGAACTAAAGTCGGTCTTTGACATTGACCACCCCGAAGATATTGGAAGACGTTTTGTGTGAAATTCCGGTCAAACAATATCAATTGTTTTTCGTAATTTGTCTCAAGTTATCACTTGTGCGTATTAGTTGTTGTTCTTGAGTAACTTTTGTTGTGCGTGTATGGTATGTGTTATGTCCGGCTTTATTTTGTCTTGTTATATCCTTAGTGTTAAAGGGATCGACTTAATACGAGATGTCAGTCTTGTTATTTTATTTCTTCAATCATTGTCTTTACAGTGTGTCTTTTCAGTTCTTTTCAGTGTAGTATGATTGTTAAGCCAATAAAAAATGTATTCCAGTGGAACAAAAAATGAAACACTTACATGCATGCACATAAAAAACGCACAATTTGTAACAAACCTGCAAGAGACTTGTACCAATGCTGTCTCAACGACAACATTGGGATGTGTTCGCACTGTTTGTTCCCAGCTGGTTGACACATTGTTAACGGCTTGTAGACAATTCGCTAAAATGTTGTTGATCTAACAGACTTGTTACAAGTTCGGTTCCAACAACTTGTTATCGTTCTGTAATTCAACAAATTGTTAACAAGTTGTGATTAACAACATTGTCTCAACTTGATAAGATGACAACATTTTTACATCTTGCTTGACAAGTTTAATTGCTACAAGTATAACTGAACGCATGTTGCATGCACATCTTGTCAAGGGTGGGTTGACTACAAAATTTTTGTAGTTCGCTATAACTACAGCTACTTCAAAAATATGTAGTCAGCTACAACTAGTGCTACTTTTGAACAAAGGTAGTTCGCTACTGACTACAGCTACAGCTTAAAAAATGTAGGCGGTAAGCGAACTATTTCGCTATTTCGCTACGCTATATTTTTTAGTTTTACTGTATTTGGAGCATCTATACTAACTCAGACTGTAATGTAACCTATAACAAATCGACTTACGACTGTTACGAGTAGCAACAGTAAACACAAAGCAACATTATTGTAATCACTAGAGTGTTCAGGAGTGCAATTGACTATTTGAGTATCCGATTTTAAGCAAACCGTGTCTCAATATCATGCTATTCTGTCAAGTTGTTAACACTTTTTAAAAGTAGCGAATAGCGATTTGCTGTTTGAAAAGTAGTCAACTACTTGGCTACTTTTAGGCAAAATGTAGTTCGCTATAACTACAGCTACTGTTTTACAAAAGTTGTCAAAAACTACTGGCTACTTTAAAATTGTAGTTCGCTACAGTAGCGAACTACTGTACAACTACTTCGCTACTACCCACCCTTGCATCTTGTCCACAAGTTGTGAAATTTTTACCGGCGTTGATTGTGAGCTTGCAGCATTCAAATGGGAGGCTATTGCCTTACGCGCATTATAGGTACCAATAAATCATGCCATGGATGGCAAAACTGTTCAAAATTCTATTTTTAATTTATTATTTTGAACTTATACTAAAATGGAATAAGGTGTTCACAAATCCAGTAAACATATTTTGCCAGTTTACGTGTTTAATATTTTTTTAGTATAATTGATCGCCCAGCGTCGACGCGCTAAAAGTGGAACATGTTACAGTTTCATTATAATAGATTGCAAAAGATTATAAATTATGGATGAACCAAAGACTGAAAACCATATATTTATTTGTCGCCGTGCTAATTTGGTTGTAGGTTTATTTGTGCATGCATGCTTACAGGTGAAGTTATGTCGCCATGCATAAAGTCCAAGATGAGTTAAAGCCACTTTAATTAAATAGTTTCAATCTGCACAAACTCATATTAAACATATCTTTACGATGAATTTGCGAATAAATTTGCTGTTAAAATTCAAAGCCAAATGGCAAAAGAAATGAAATCCTGGAAATGACAGCAGTTCTAAATTCTACTGATAAATTCATGTTGCATGCCTCATAATTATTAACCCCAATTTGCAACCTCACTAAAGTCCTTGATTGAGCAGAACTCGTTTTTTGGCTTTGCGTCATTTCAACGTCTATACGTTGCTTTGCATTTCTCGAGATCTAAGAGGGACTAAGAGGTAATGCAGATTACAAAGGTTCTTTTCATAAATTTTAATTGCCGTATAATTGCAACCCTACTGTAGACATTCTGGCATTCAAATGCCCCCTTGCAGCGAATATAATACAAACAAATAATGCGTTACTGGCACTCCTTCGGCTACGCCCATCGGTTTATATTCATGCCAATCATGAAAATGCACATAATTTATATTAATAGTTTTGAGTGCACTTTAGACAAGTGACTTTTTCAAGGACGATCAAGTTTGAGTTCTTTAAAAAAATTGCTCTTAGCAATGCCAATGGCCAATCAGAATTGTGTAATTTTCCAAGTAGGCTATACTATATTATACTGGTATAGATCTGGTAATAGCATTTTTCAAGGTTGCTTTTAGGTTCAAGTTTTGAATACCTTCAAGACCGAATCTGATAAAAAAAACAATAGTTAATAGCAAAATGGCAAGTGGAATTTCATAAAATTTCACACAACACTATTATCGCTAGCATGCATATGCGATAGCTCAATTGGCAGAGCGTCAGCCTGGTTCGCTAATTATGCGAGTTCAACTCTCATTTGAGACTACTCTATAGACAACGCAGTGTTGTAGGATTTGAATATGAATATATTATACCATGAATATATTATACCATGGCACATGCAGATATGGCTTTGTAACTCCAATAATAGCTTCAGTTGACATTCCACCAAGTCTAATTAAAGCATTATGATCTTGCAAATACAAGTACCACATGATGGGTCAAACGACTGCATGTCTGTATCATCAAAACGTATGTTGGGAAATAAAAGCCAAGCGATTCAAAATTGTTTTAGTAAGAAGCTTCAATTAACTCAGAACAGTCTGTGCCATTGTATAGTCTCCTTATATTTTTCAGGTAATTGCATTCCTACCGACGAAACTAGCTTGCAATAGTAAAGTGAAACTAGCTTGTAAAGTGTATAAATTAAAGATAGACTTTAGATATACTTTCTCCTAAATATGGCACAGCAGTAGACGCTTGCAGGATTCTCAGAGTTGAGCATAATCTCCGAAATTATACATTTATGTCTATAGTAAGCATGTCTATAGTAAGCATGAATTAGGGTTAAGGTTTTTTTACGTTTCGTGCTATAGCAGACATAAATTAGACTACAATTAGCTATAACCAAGATTCCGACCTTGAATGACAATAACTTTTTTTCATTGAAAGCAGTCAATATAGTTTTCTTCTTTTTTATTTAAATCTTCAAGAAACATTAGACGGGCACCACTACAACTTGACACATATCCTATACTGGATACTTTTTAAGTGGCTTGCAATCGACAACCAAACAGTCATATTACGATATTATTTTTACCAAAAATGTCAAGAGTGGTTAATGGCACTTGAGCGACCCCCTCACAAGTAATAACTGCACTTTCGCCACGCCCATTATGTTTGACATTCTAAGTTCATCTTATCTTATCTTATCTTCATACAGCTGATTACAGTGTATACGTATAAGATTTACACTAATTACTCGCTGGGGCACGTACCTGTGCCTTGGCGAATATAGGTTTCGGCACGCATTTTTAGTGGATTTCTAGCCTCAAAATACAATATTAATGAGCTGCCAATTTTTACCCAAATTATCCACAAGGCTCCTGCCAAATTTTACCCAAATTATCCGTATGTAACCCTAAGTTTTAAGAAAAATTCAAGAAGTTTACTAAAAAAGCCAAAGCTGTTGTTTATTTTAACCAGCATGAATATGCTTACGTTCTGTTAAAACTGCTTTTTTACGGCATTGAGGATTCAATAAACAAAAAGAAAGAAGTTAATTGGAGTGGTATTTCATTAAAATGCCAAATATTAGGCGGTCAAAATGACATCTGATATAGCCCGACAAAGACAGAAATACAAAGACAGCGATGCACAGGAACAATTGTATGAAATATAAACTCGTTATAAACTGGAACGGTCTGTGCTAGCGTAGGTATAGTGGCAATAACACCAGAAAGCTGCGGAGTGAGAGAGATGCAACAACCTGAAAAATACAAGTAAAGCTTTGACGTTTCGTGCGAAGTCCTTCGTCGTGAGAGGGCATTGTGCTAAACGTATCTGCTAAGTGCTAACTATGCTTTTATAAGAACAGAGTAAAGACCAGGCACAGTACTAAAATGCGGTGTTTTGCAAACAAAACTTTTTTGCGTTTCCGCCGCCTACAAGCTGTGCTACAAGTAAAGGCTATATTTAGTACGCTACAATACATTCCTCCTGTCGGCCGGCATGCATTTGTTCCGTACACTACGGTTAAAACTTTTAATCATTTCTAAATTTCAGACAGCAACCAGAAACGACGTTTTGGACCCATATTGATCGCTTACTCTCAAGATAAAAAATTAGCGCCACCCCTCTCTTGACGTAACATGCATACTGTATCCTTAATAATCCAAGATGGCGGCGAACAGCTCACTATTTCAGTCCAAATATATTTTAAACTAAGCAAGATATAAACAATCTGTAATAGATTTAATATATCGTTTTAAGAGTTCTTTCACATGAAATGAACTATTTTTTATCATTTATTATTCAGCGTTTTTATCACACAGAACCCCAAAATTCCTCGCTTGGCAATTCGACTGGGAATTAGGCATTATTTTTGCAGGTTAGGTTGCCAACCCTAACCTGCAAACGGGCATGTCCTGGGTACGGGATTGCTTGAGCATAAGCTTCATATTATATTATATAACAACGTTAAGAGTTCAAGGGCTTTCATTGGTCGAGAGCCATGATCTATTAGAGTACAGATGCACGGATTATGTCACACAAAAATTTGTTCTGTGCAACCAATCACAACATATAGCAGTAACTTAAGGTAGCCAACAACATTCCCTTATTTGTATAGATCATGTACGCGTGATATTTGTAAAATTTCAACGTTTTCAAATTTCAAAATGTTTGGGTGGGAAAAAGGTAAGCTATTTACCTGTTTAATTCGGGGTTTCTTTTTATTATATAAGACAAATAGATAATAATTATTTTGTTCAGTTATAGATACACAGTATGACATCATGTAGGAAGAGCAAAAAAGTAAGCCACTCGGCCCACTCGCTCGTGAGCCACTTTTTTGTTCTTCCCACGTTATGACGTCATACAGTGCATCTATAACTGAACAGACGACGGCAAAATCTTATATATTTCTTAACTACATTCGTTAGTTATCACTCCGCAACAAAAAACTTCGCCTGATGACATTCTGATATTGAATAAAACCTTTTATAAAAACTGCTAATTTTGATTTCGTGACAAACAGATAGTATAATATTATGATCATGGGTCATTAAACATAACAAGGCCTTTCATCTAGGCCGGAGCGTAATTATTATCCAGACAATTAGAATCCCTAAGAAACCTGAACACAGTTAACAATATATAAAATTGTTGACCACTGGCCAGTTCCCCTTTTTATAGCAAATGCCACGTATTTTGCGTATAATTTATTTAATGCTATTCGTGCGCGCAAGCCTGTGCATGTAGTCGACAAATTAATTTATTTGCAGAGCAAGAAAATCCGATCCAGGGATCTAGATTGATAAGTCTGATACAGTTAAGTACACAGTTCGGTGCTTGGTAACCAAGCCTTCAAGTGATCCCCAAAAAATCTGCCTGAAGCATTTATGAAAAATGTATAAGGGGCGGACCATTTAACTTTTGAGGGGGGTGGAAGATTCAGTCTGCACAAGAAATTTTTTTCCGCCCAGGCAAACAAGACAGATATTTTTTTCCTGTAAACGTGCAGCGCAAGATATTTTGTTCCCAATATATTTGGCGGCAGGATATTTTTTTGCCTCTCATAATAACGGCTTACAGTAACTTAAGGCTTTCATATAGCTATCATCAGAGACGTATAGCAGGGGTTTTCAGTCAGAGGAGGCCGAGAACTGAATCCCAAGAGGGGCCAAGGAATTTCACTGTGCTTTATTTTATATGGTTATGTCTTAATGTTCCCCACACTAAAGCGTGCAAGTTTACTTACAAAGAATGTATAACTGCACCAAAACCTAAAAATGTAGAAAATGTTTTTTTGAGCGCTCTCTTTTGCATGATTTTTTTTTCTCGATTGTATGCTGCATGATTTTTTTTTCTTTCTCCTTGGGTTGCAGGAATTTTTTTTCGAAATCTTCCAACCCCCCCCCGCTCAAAAGTCAAATGGTCCGCCCCTAAGCTAGCAAACTTCGCACGCCCACTGTTAAATTATGGCCGGTGATGTGTGTCAAAATTAAGTGAAACATTTTGCCGGACCATGATCTTGTAACATTTGGCATGCGTGTCAAACAATTTGGCAATGATTTGGCATCATTTGGCTATTGGTTCTCACTATTTTATGGCAACTGCAAAATATTTGGTGACAATCTCAAAATATTCAACAACAAAAACCCGTTTGACAACAATTTATTACTGCACTGAACTAAAATGTTATCATTTGACAATGACGTCACGTTCGGCAACAATCGTTTCATTTCGCAAAAACAATCCCAAAATGCATTCGAGTTTGCAAATTTAGAAACAAGATGGCAGATCAATTAACATAATAATATCAACAGGACTAAGTACGAGATTCTATTTTAACACGCTTGGAAATGCTTTTAAACGATGTTACGGCAGCTATTTCACCAGATCCTGAACTCCATATAATAAATAGATCATATTCGCGATTGCTCTGAAACTCTTTATCAATGCCTTGTTGTTCTCTCTGCACAAGATCCTAATACGTACTAGTATATGACGGATATCTAAATCAAGCCAGACTCTTGGTTGATATTATGGAGCGCTCTGTTTTCAATGGTGAAAATAACGAAAGAAGAACAAGAAGAAGAATGCGCACTGCAGGGAGACCTGAATTTGATATTTCCGGAGACCAATTGGTGTACCTTATAGATGGGGTTCAGGATCTGGTGAAATTGCTGCCGTAACATCCAAGCGTGTTAAAATTGAATTTCGTACTTAATTCGTCCTGTTGATGTTGATTCGCCATTTTTTTGTTTATGAATTTGCAATACATTTTGGGATTGTTGTTGCCAAATGAAACGATTGTTGCCGAACGTGAGGTCATTGTCAAATGATAACATTTTAGTTCAGTGCAGTAATTAATTGTTGTCAAACGAGTTTTTGTTGTTGAATATTTTGATATTGTCACCAAATGTTTTGCAGTTGTCATAAAATAGTCAGAACCAATAGCCAAATGCTGCCAAATTGTTTCACACGCATGCCAAATGTCACAAGATCATTGTCAATACTTAATTTTGACACACATCACCCGCCATATTAAATCTCTGTTTGATTAAATCCGGCCGCGAAAAAGACAGTTCAACTACAGCGATGTGCAATTTCTTAATTTAAGCAAGGCTTTATCTGGTACGACGACGTGACAAGGAACGTGTCGAACTTAAATTTTACACTTTTCATAAAATGACAAAACTACGAACTAGCGTTCAAACACTCATTAATAATTCATAAGTTTATTGTTAAATCATGTCAACCATAATATGTCACGTGCAGTGGCTTTAAACCTGATAAAACACTCCTAATCAGTATTCTTTATATAAAGAATACTAATAATTAAGGCAGTATATCTATTGAATTTGTAGTCGTGTTTGAAGCCGTTTAGACTCGCAGGTCGTATTTTATTATATAGGTCTAAAGCCACTCGTATTTAGTAGAAGCCTTATAAAATAGCAAGGTCGTTTGTATAAAACTCTTCCTTTTTAATCATCCATTTCGTGGACATAGTTAAATGGTAGTTTAACTCTACAAAATACGTCACTCTGATTGTCTGATCTGTCTGACTAATCTGACTAAAATCGCATGATTTCCAAATACTTCTTTCATTTTATTATTTGTAAACCAGGCATGCATGGGAACACCGTTATATAAATGTGTATGATTTTAAAACATTCTGAGCCTGGTCAGCCCATTTAAGACGCATTATATCATTCCGCACTTGTAACTATAACCAATAATATGGCTAATGACGTGTTGTTCAAACGGTGTGGTATACGGTAGAGGTTATAATGCCTGCATGGCTTTGACATACAGTATATAGACATATATTTAGATATAAAGCTATAGTCTTTGTAACTTGGGTCAATGAACTTCCTTGTCTTTTTATAGAATGCAGATGTAGAAAAGATAACAATTCCCGAGGGGACTCACAGATACAACCTGACTTGTATAGGACAAAATAAGCTTATCTGGAAGAAGGATGGTCTAAAAATTGCCTTTCCAAAAAATAAATATAACTTAGGGTTTGACTTAAACGGTCTAGAATCATCGCATTTATTTCCACTTCTCTGCGTCAAGAAATCCAATGAAGGATCATATACCTGTCATGATAAGAAAAATGGTCGTCTTTTGAAAAGAATCAATGTTACGGTCTCACGTATGTATAGAATAATTACCGTACCAAAGTAATTATAGTATACTAGGCAACACCATGGTTTCTCGCGCAATTTGAAAAAAAATGCACCAGTGAGTTTTTAAATGCTACCGAAGAACAAGTTCTATATGCACAAGAAAACATGCTATTATAAAATTTTTAATAATACACATTGAAAAATTGAATAGAATTCGAAGACCACCGAACGGACTTAAGACTTGTTGGAAACTTCTTGTTTCATTGTTTGAAAACATAAGTCTTAGATATTCGCTTCATTGAGCACCAGATGTTCGTCAAAAAAAGTAAACTTCCCTCAAACTCTTTCCAATCAAAATGTCTAAAAATGTTTCCTTTCTGCCGTTCTTTTTCTGAAAATTGCACCGGTTACATGAGCCAATCAGAATTGAGAATTGTTTTCATGTATATATTATTGAGTTCGTTATTCATGCACCAAGAGGTGGAGAGAAACGCCAATTAGCGGTATGTTTCATTTGTGGAACAAAATATGATCTGCATGATTAATGGGACAAAATAACATACATGAGTTTTGAATGATTCTGAAAGGCGACCAGTATTAGAAATCGTACATATATACTGCATTTTGAATCAGACATAATTTTTGATAAATGATAAAGTCGTAAAACGTAAATAATTTTGTTTAAATTAATATAATAAAGAATATGTTTCCTCATAGAAACTTCTTTTGTAAAATAAATTAAAGACTATAGTTGAACTAAAAGACTCAGGGAAACTCTATAACAATAGAATCAGCCAAAATGTGATCGCTGAATGAAACATGGCGGTTTAATTGCTCTACGTTTTGCTTTTATCTCTTTTTGAAATAGAATCAGGGAAGTATTACCCATGTGGAGGTTCAAGCGGAGGTAAATAATTTATGTTTTAATTCTTGATAAATTTACGTGATTGTAATTTTGTCTATTTTAAACAGCTTATCGTTAGGGTACATATTGCCTGCATGAGTTTCGAGGCCTGCTTAGCCTATATTTATTATTTTGTTGGCATTATCACTCGATTGAACAATACTTGAAAGGTTTTGTAGATGGATATAATTATCGAGTATATATAAATTTATATACATTTTATTAGATCCACCAGGAACAGCTGCGAAAAATGCAACCAAACGTCCCTGGCAGAATTCGAACCTGCCGCCCTATTCCAGTGCTGCACTCTAACCAACTGAGCCGGCCAGTTATCGAGCTCTAACCACAAGTTCATGTATATATATATACTAGGGTACTGCCATGTTATGCCAAAAAATATTGATGCTATCCATAACCTAAAATAACAGTACCCCAGTGTATATGCATGAACTTGTGGTTAGAGCTCGACCACTGGACCCTGCTGCTCAGTTGGTTGGAGCGAGAGACCCGTGCTGTTCCCGGTTGGGTTTCAATAAATATGTATATAAATTAGTTTATAATCGACAATTTCCATGCATCTACAGTATAGTCCAGAAACAGTTTGACTTAATTGTAGTCGAAACATCCTAAGAAAGTAACTAAAATTAATAGAAAATGATGGTTAATCGCGTATACATCCAGAAAAAATAAATACAACTCTTAATCGTTCTTCATATATTGGGAGGAGGGGGGGGCAGGAATCGAACATGCGGCTTGGTCCCTGGAACAAAGCCTTACAAGGTCCCTGGCAGGAATCGAACATGCGGCCATGTGATTCCAGTGCAGCGCTCCACCCAACTGAGCAGCAGGGTCCAGTGGCCGAGCTCTAATCACAAGTTCATGCATATACGCTGGGGGTACTGTTGTTTTAGGTTATGGATAGAATCAAATTTCCGACAACCCCGATTTGCACTCGAAAAGGCTGTTTTTAGCCCTGTTTTAGGTAGAAATTTCTGAAAAATCGACATGAATTTTCCGTGAAGGTAAGGGGCGGTCAACCACCCAACCGAAATTTCCGCCACTGAGAATTGGACAATGATTTTGTGTTACTTTTCTAATTATAGATTAATAAGTTCTTTGTATGTTTGCATGGCGATAAAACATATAATAGTTTTGTTTGTGGAAACACCACGTAAATTTATTACTGCAAAATAAATAATAAATAATTTATTACACTTTTGCAGTAATAAATTTACGTGGTGTTTCCACAAACAAAACTATTATATAGATATATAGATTAATAATTGATAAACTCTGGACTCAATTATATTTTTTGTCGGAATAACACGAATTTTCACTATATTTTATATTTCAAATATTTCAGATCGGCTTCATTTTGAAGTTGGATCTGGATGTGTGTCACCTATATATCCATGCTGTGAATTGGAACACGTACCAGTTGCGGCGGGGAGAATGGATGTGTATTTAAAAATGGAAAAATGGCTTCGTGATTCGAACAACAAATGTGATATCGTGTACAGTGAACCAAACTCTTTCACTAATCCGTATAATGTTATTGTCGATTGGGAATTAGATGATACTGGTAAGCACATTTAAAAACTGAAATTAAAAATTACAATTTCGTATACTGTTTAAAAACACGATTTAAACATGTAAAACCTGTTTTATTACTGTGCATATACATTTGAAAATCTAATTGACATACCCTTTTTATGCAGCATGACAGGGACCGGATTCATTGTACATTTAAGAAAGAATATTGCACTCAGAAGAAGAAACCTCACAGCAGTATTATAAAATACCAAGACGTTTTCGAATTAGCGACCACAAGTTAATGATTAAAATAATATGGTCGCTACAGAAATATTGGCCGCGTATTTTTGTATATATTCTGGGGACTGATTTCAATTTAATTTAATTTCTTTCTCTTCTTAGGTACGTCTGGTACATGGGGTTGGCAAATCGATGTTCTTGGCCTTGACGGAGATGCAGGTTACCAATATTGCGTCCATATAAACAGCAGAGTATGTTTAACCTTAATTGTATAACCGTTTAATTTGCTTCTATCAAAACTATAACACCATGATCAAAATGAGACCTGCCTTCCTTCTAAATTGGCGCAAGTGTAGGTAGAGACGATATCCAATTTGAAGGCCGGATGCACAATTACTTCAAAAATATTAACAGAACTGACTTTTTCGACCGAAAACCCTTCAAAACGAAGTTCTGGTTGGTTATATTATATTATTTTGTTTTTACATTTTTATGATTTATATTGAGGGCTGGAAATCTTTCGATTGCCGCATGTTGCTTCGAAAATATTAAATGCGATCGAGGTATAACTAAAATGTTATAGCCACTATTTTTTTGGCTGGAAATGTTGTACAGTTGTAATTGACAATTAATGTGTGGATAGGTGCGATACTCAATACCGGATGTGCGTGAATATTGTGTATAGCTGCTTGTTTGTTTAATTAAGAGAAAAACTTGAAATAGGGGGCGCGGTGAGCTTCTTGGTGAAATGGGTTACCATAATGTGGAGTAACCTTAACACCACAGGTGTCTGGTTTTTTGTCTATGTATACCGTATATAAAATGCAATCCCTTTTTCATATAAAAATGTAGCGTGTAATAATATATATTGTATTTGCACCGATGATCCAGGCCGCATGAATTTGAAACTGTAGCAAAAAAATGCATGATGATCGGAAATTATGCTCCATATATATCTAATGCAATGACCCAGTTTTTAATAAAGTGATCCAGTTCGGCAACAATATTTCCGTGCCTGTCAAATTTAAAAAATGGGCCCCAGTCATTTTTTGGGTGAAACATTTCCGCGCATGCAAAGGGCAAGATATTTGTTTTTTTAATTTGGGCAAAGTACCGAAATTTGGTATGAAAAATTGAGGTAAAGTCGCTGGAAAGCAATTACAACGTACTCGTCTGGAAAAATGTTTTCCCTAAAAAGTTGTCGACGGGGGTTGTTGTCCGAAAAAAAATTTGAAATAGGGGCCCCTAAAAAAATTTGCCCCAGACCCTCGGCGGCGCTGCTGCCATGCGTGTGCACATGGTTTTTGCTTGGAATTTCGAGGGCGCTGAGACAATAATCTATCGTATGCGATATAACTATCACTGAAGCCGTGTTTATACTAGCCTACGGTGTAGACCCCAGCAGAAACACGTTTCGTGAGGGGTCTACGAATAAACGAAGAAAAGCTTGCCCGGCTTACGTCATATCCGTTTTTCGTTTTGGGCAAATTAACTTCAATTTATTCAAATTTATGACGTGCGCGCGCTTTATATTAAAATGTTTCATGGACCATGGTGGGCTTTGCGCAATACAAATGTGTTCTTTGCTTCAAAGTCCCATCGAATAAAAGCGATATTAATTTCTTGGACAGCAAGAAGAACATACGTAAGGAGTTAGACGACCTTTCCTGTCTTTCCTTCTCCATTTTACTGTACCTGCAAATAGCATTTGTAAAGCCTGTTTGGCGTTGGTAAACAAACGGAGAAGCTTCAAAGAACGGTTATGGGTTATCTGAACTGAACAATACGATAACCAACGCGCACAAAACAGCGTTAAACGCTATTGGTATTATGGTATACCGCTCAAAGTAAAGCGAAATTTCGTGAGGAAACTGGGATTCGAGCCGACCTTGCGATAAAACTTTTACGCCGGCTACATTTAGCGTGAAATCGACATTGTTTTCGACTGCAGAAATTGGATGCCTTGACAAGCTTCAACAGCCTAACAGGTTTGTATGAATGACAAGAACTTTTTAGTCCGTTCGGACATGTGTTTAATAGTTGGGTATATGCATATAGTCAGGGTATATTTTAACACGATTTGTTGTAAGTGCATGTTTACTTCAAAAAATTCTTGTCATTCGTACAAACCTGTTAGACTGTTGAAGCTTGTCAAGACATACAATTTCTGCAGTCGAAGACAACGTTGATTTCACGCTAAATGTAGCGGGCATAAACGTTTTATCGCAAGTCGGCTCGAATCCCAGTTTCCCACGACATTTCGCTTTACTTTAAGCGGTATACCAATAGCGTTTAATGGTGTTTCGTGGACGTTCGTTATCGTATTGTCTAGTTCACATAACCGTTCTTTGAAGCTTCTCCGTTTGTTTACCAACGCCAAGCAGGCTTTACAAATACTATTTACAGGTAAAATGGAGAAGGAAAGGTCGTCTAACTTATCCTTACGTATATTCTCCTTGCTGTCCAAGAAATTAATATCGCTTTCATTCGACGGGACGTTGAAGCAAAGACGGCATTTCTATTGCACAAAGCCCACCATGAAACATTTTAATATAAAGCGCACACACGTCATAAATTTGAATAAATTTAAATTAATTTACCCAAAACGCAAAACGGATATGACGTAGGCCGGGCAAGCTTTTCTTCGTTTATTCGTAGACCCCTCACGAAACGTGTTTCTGCTGGGGTCTACACCGTAGGCTATGTTTATACTAAGGGACTGACATTTACATGGCCAGGCTATAGGTACTTCCCGGACACATTTGTTACCTAACCAAAGACCCAAGTCCCATTGAATAATTGGCCATTACATACATGCAAAATGAATTACTGTAGAAACTAAGTAGAGAATGACATCCGCTGAGTGCTGACATTAAAGACTCGAATTTACGTTTGTTGTCATGGAAATTAGCCCCGGGCACGTCTAGGGTCACTAAAATGTGTTTATACTGCAGGCGACCCTAGAGTTACCTAGGAATGACCTAAGACCATGTTTTCAGGCCACGTCTAAATGCTTGGCCTAAAAACAAGGTGTTAGTTCGGTCCTATATGCAGGTCAGTCCTAGTTCGGTCCTATAGGTCAGTCTTAGGTCAGTTCTAGGTCGGTCCTAGGTAAGTTATATTTAAGAAATAGAAAACGTTTTCCGTGTTTCTATAGAGTTATAGAAACACGCGTGAAACTTTTGGAGAAACGAGGAATTGCGTGGGAACACGAGCACGAAGTGCGAGTGTTTCCACGCAATTTCGAGTTTCTCCCAAACTTTTACGAGTGTTTCTATAAACTCTATAGAAACACGGGAAAATGTTTTCTATTTCCTTTAGTAAATAGCCTTTTAAAAACAATAGAAAAGATAAATTTATTGATTTTTTTGCTTTCATTCAAATATTAATTCCACCTTAATATACGTTCGTGTAAAGAATACAACAGACAAAACAACAGACAGCACTTAACAGGCTTATAATACAAAGTATATAATTCACTCAACAACGTACATGCTTGCATGCAAAGAAAGCACTGTTTTAAATAGTTAGTGAACGTTTAAACATGATTAAAAACTATAGTAAACATGATTAAAAACGTTGCGAGAAAATATTTTTTTAAAAAGACAAAGTAAAATTAAAATATCTTACCTTGGTAAACAGTCAAACAGATACAATGTGTGCTATAATCATACTTTGTGCTTTAGGTCTTCGCTTTCTAAGCCGTTAGCAAAGTGTTGCCTTTTTTTGTAACTGTTCTTCGGCGTTTCGGGACGTTTTTCAACTTTTTTCAAAATTAAATATTGTTTGTATTTTGTCTTTTAAACTCCCGCGCAATCTACGCAACCCGCGTGAAAATTCCCCGTGTTTCTATCGAGTTATAGAAACACGTTTTTTTTAGCTTTTGACCAATCAGCGCCCGTGTTTTTAAAAGACTATTTTATAAAGGTCTTTAGTGTATAAAATACTGCTAATGAAACTTGTTGATCTCGTTAATTTTATTTATATTTATTATATTATTTTTGTCAAAGTCGAACGATTTTTGGTGATACAACATTTCTTATAATGACATGGTTTTTTCTTCCTAGGAAAAGCTGCTAAAATGGATGATTAAAAACATTCGTTTAACGCCTGGAGCAAAATATAATATCACTCTGCAGACTTTACCAAAATCGAGCAGGAAATCGAATTCCATATTCAAATTCATTCGAATTCCAAATTTTCCAGGTATACATTTTCACGAGTGTCATATATACAGGGTGTATAAAAAAAACTGAACAGATTTAAAATTGCTCTCAATTTCGCAAAACAGCTATTTGTATCCGGTTTTTTATATATATAGCCTCTTTGGGTACTTATAATGTAGAATAATGAGAAAAATTTCTTGAACTCAAATTTTGTGAACCAGGGGGGTGTGTCTTTTCCAACAAAATAAAAATGGCTCGCGCACAAAATTTAAAAGCTGCAATCATATTTTGATTTAACAGATGGAAAATTTGTCGGGATTTTAATTACTGTACAAAATTTCAGACAATTTGGTTTAGTTTAAGCTCCTTAACTATTCACGCAAAGTTACAATTTTCCCGAAAAATCAGCTATTTGCATGCTTAATTAATGCATTTGCCTAATTTGCATATGTCAGCAATATGCAAATTAGGTAAAGGCATTAATTAAGCATGCAAAAGGCTGACTTTTTAGAACAAAATGAATAGTTAAAGGGCTTAAACTAAACCAAATTGTCTGAAATTTTGGACAGTAATTAAAACCCCGACAAATTTTCAATCTATTAACTCAAAATATGATTACAGCTTTTAAATTTTGTGCGCGAGCCATTTTTAATTTGTTGGAGAAGACACACCCCCCTGGTTCACAAAATTTGAGAATTTTTTTCCATTATTTTACATTATAAGTACCCAAAGAAGCTATAATTATATATATAAAACCAGATACAAATAGGTGTTTTGCGAAATTGAGAGCAATTTCAAATCTGTTCAGTTTTTTTTTTTATACACCCTGTATTATTATATTGTTGACGGTTTATTGTTGGAATACGTTTTCTTAAAGCGCAACGCATTGTATAAGTTATCAGAATGTGGCTTCTTAGAACGACCGAGGAGTGAATTGAAGATAGCTCAATCACACAAGAGTGTTTTTAAATTAACTTGTTGGCCTATCATGCATGACGTCTTATATATACATTAGCATTAACGTTTCCGTCTTTTTGACAGGAAAATCGACACGTGGGTCGCATCTTTAATAATCTGCGGTTAACAATGGGACCATGTGTTTAGTGGGCGCGCTCATGCATGTCTTATGTGGACATTTCGGGTGGACAATGTGGACATTTCCGGCGGAATTCGCGGAGTAACCCGAAAATAATATGACTTTCAAAGTCCGAAATTGTAGTGGGTTAATTAAGATTCAGAATAAATTACGGTTCCCAATAGGAATTTCGGCATGTTTATGTTTGAAAGTGTATGAAAAATATTGTTCATGGTTTTTTAATTTACATAATTAGAGGATTATAATCACTGTTAAATCAGTGATTATAATGCATTCCATGTATCGCAATGTTTATTAGAGCACATTGCAAGGCAGTTTAAATATAGCTAATATAGATTGAATTGAACTACTTATCTGATTTATTTTGTAGACATGTGTGAAACGATTGGTCGCAACTGTAGTTGGGAATTTTGTTGTAAGTTTTTCTCAATTAAGCAATCTTGTATCAAGAAATTTTAAGAACCTTTGTTGCTTTGGGAGCCTAATTAGGCAAAGTGCCCTCCCACCTTCCTTCCCCCTCCCTCTTGGCAGGCCTGCATGCGTAAGAGTACATCTGTCAAAGCTGTTAAGAAGACTGGAAAGGGTAATACTGTACCGATGTTTCAGTATTATTTCTTTCTTTACACTATTAATACGTGTTTGTTTACGATAGCATTTTGGTTTAATATCTTGAGTCCGTATTTCTTCCGATTTCCTCTCTCTAAAAAATAGCTCTGACTTCACACCACGCTATGATTATAGGCCGCTAATATTATTACTTCTAACTATGGACATATGAAGACATATATGTGCTTTCTTCGTGTGTTATTCACTACAGTATACTTAGTGTGTTATTCATAGCATTAGAACAGTCATGCGTTAATTAAGATTTTTACCTAAACTCATCGAACAGTTAGTTCATCGAATCGTAGATAATCAGGGGAGCACGACAGAATCAGTCTTTCGTTTAACATCTTTGAAAAATGATAATGAACTTGATGCGAAACTGCACCACCAAAAAAATTCAAATAAAAATAGAGGGAGTGAAGCTTCTCCGTCGATGTCATTAAATTGATTACTAGGGAGAGAAGCTTTGGTGCAGCCGTTTAGCCGTTTAAGACTCCGTAGGATTTTCTGATCGATAATTACAAACTTTAATCTCATTATCGAAAGATGGTAATTAGGCAAATCTACTCTGCTGTGTTCCCTTGTACAAGTTACAATTCTCATGAGCTACCATATTTTTATATTTTTTACCTTCAGTTCCCGTCGAGAATCTCACAGTTACAAACCATTCATCTTCTCCTCTTGTGTCATGGAATCCTTCTCCGTTTTACAAATTCCAACATGTATTCGAAGTTAATTATACTGATGAAAATGGCTCTGACAGCGATAGATTTATAGTGAAGGTATCTATTTTATAACATCATAATCCTTATTTTTAGCTCCAAATCTATTTTAGCTCTCAACATCTTTAAAAATTTCGATATGTTCGCTAGCTTGATTCAAACATAGTACTGAAAAAACGACACATCTGATGAGTTCATTCGCGAAGTAATCTTTTAAAAAGGTATCTAAGCCGAGAAAATCAAAGCTAAAGTTTAATATGTAAATGAACATGATTTTTTTAAAATTATCACATATAAATTAATTATCACCACCGACACGTACGGAGTGATTTCCTTTGTCTATTCCTTTTTATAGCTAAATAAACATATGCGCCACACCGAGTTTACTTTAATCATAGCCTATCAAAGGGAAGATGGCTGTGAAACTCATTAGAATAACAATATAACTCATTGTCTATGTTAGTCAACGTTTATTCATAAATCTGGTCGTTTCACCGTCACGTGTGTATTGTATTTTTACTAAATCCACCAATAGCAATTTCCAGTTTCCCTATTGTTCGAATCACGGATAGGCGAGTTTCCTAAAACATTGCTATTGGTCAGTTGGGCAAGAATACAATACACACGTGACGGTGAAGGACCAGATTTATGAATAAACGTTGACCAACATAGATAATGAGTTATATTGTTATTCTAATGAGTTTCACAGCCATCTTCCCTTCGATAGGCTATGCTAGAGCTCTAAATGATCGCTTCCATTTAACTGCATGGTTTTATACGAATTCAGAAAGGTAATTTTTTCTGGCGAATTCAGGGCGTGGTTTCCTCTGCTGTCCAAAGTGCCTACCATTATTTTTGCCACCCAAAATCATAGATTTCCCGTGACTAAGTAGAAGAAGTAATATTTTTTAATCTTTTAGAATGGATCCCATTTCAGACTTACCAATCTGAAACACAAATATTTTCGTAAATATTTTGTGGAGGTAAAGGAGCTAGCTCTGTTTGATAATATAATGTATTTCAATCGAGTTTTCTACACAGTGTTTCCAGATTTATATATACAGGTTGATTTTATATCTAAATTACTGAGAGAACACCTTGCCATATCTGAATAGTCGTTATTTTTGTTTCACCAAGGTACGACCGATCTTCGCGAAAGGTGCTGATTCAAATAGAATTTATGGAAAAAGAAGCATAAAATTGATGTTCTACACTGCCTATCCACCGACACCAACACCAACTAAAAAAGGTGGTAAATTCCATAAAAATCGTGATGTTTATTTCAATTCATAATTACACACATCGTACTTATATTGGAGCTTTCGAAATAACTCTTCGACCGATGGTTCATATCATATCATATCATATCATATCATATCATATCATCAGTATCATATCATATAATTTATTAACAACCAATTTTACACTTAGAACTGAATTACACTGGTTTTGCAACTGCAAGATATACTAAGTACTGTTTAATAAACGAGCAGGAGTGTTTTATTAGGTTTAAGCCACAAGCGCTGCGCGCTCGTGGCTTTATAGACCTAACAAGACGCCTGCTCAGGCGTTCACACTGGCCTCGCGGTTGATAAAATACCGTCGCAATACTCTAAAAAATAATGTAGATGTTCTTCACTTCTTGACGGCCGTCACTTCATGATCACAAACATTCAAAACCAATAGAGTTCAGCGATGTCATATCGAAAAACACAGAAAAGTTCAAGCGCATGCGCAATGAAATATAATAAAATACGTCCCACAATTACAGCGTCTAAGATTTGTAACGTAGTTAAACACGAAAGTCGTTCGAATCAACATTGTGTAGAATTGGTCCTAATAATCGTCGTGAGCATGTTTTAGATAAATTGCGCAATCCTGAGCCCACGATGCCGCAATGGAAAGTCACACTTGCGACAACCGAAAAAGACAGCATTTTCAAGCAAGGGCAAATTATGACACTGGCTGCGGCCAGTGTAATAAAACACGACCTGCGAGTTTATTAACGGCTTCAAACACGACTACAAATTCAATAGATACTGCCTTATTACTATTCTTTATATAAAGAATACTAATGAGGACACGACTACAATAGATACTGCCTTGTTAGTATTCTTTATATAAAGAATACTAATTATGAGTGTTTTATCAGGTTTAAAGCCACTGCACGTGACATATTATGGTTGACATGATTTGCCAATACGCTTATGAATTATTAATGAGTGTTTGAAATAACTAATAATACGTAGTAACATATGATTTAAGAATATTAAAAGTAGAAGTTACTTGGTTTTACAACTATAAAGTACTGTATAACTAGAGTAATGTATAATACGATTTAAGAATATTAGAAGTTGAGAGTTAAAAATGGTTCGTGTCGTATAATGTTGCTACGGGCGTGTTACATTTTAAACATTTAAAAAAAAACTGAACACTAAAAATCGGTTTATTTCCCCTTACATTTAGATGATCCTTCTAATAAGTTAAAGATTATAATATTTGTGTGTGTTGCTACTGTGTGTTTGGGTATCGTGTTCTCGTTGCTTGCGTATCTTCGGTGTAAGTATACCTGTACTAACTTATAACATGTACGTTCTTCTTATTGGTTTTCTAAAGTAATTGCCAGTGTTTATGACTCTTTCCTTACTATGATTATTCAATATATAGTTGTCATAATCAGCTAATTACAAGGCTTGTTCATATAGATCATAGGTCAACCTCTGATGATGAAGCTTCCAGAACTTCTGAAGAAAGACTGATACCAGGTATGTATAGTCTTTTTGCAATATTAGTGACTTTTCAACTATATATTTTTGAAATTGCGTTTGACTTTTTTAGATTTAGTACTTTTTATCGTAATTTAGCACGTAATGTTTAAGTTGGTGTAGCGACATTTTGTTGATATCACTTCCCGGATGCGCAATTAAATTATTTGAAATTTTACTCAAAATCGAATCTGCTCACGCGTGCACGTTTTGGGCAGTTTTTGTAGGATAGATTATAATTCAATCACCATATATATTCGCTCGTTATGCATTCAGCTATGCCTTAATTCCGAGGTGAAATTGAGCATGCACATGAATAACTCCTTTTTATTTTTCAACATTTCATGCTTGATCTGAGCGATTTCTGTTCGCGGTTTGATAATTTTCCCGCACGGCCCTCGCTCAGTAAGTTCTTTTATTTAATTTCAATATATTTTTAAATTTTGAATATTAGGAGACTAATGACTCAAAACTAATGATTTTGGTTCATTTTCTTGCACGATACTATTTTTGACCTTCAAAATAGATTTATTCTTAGTTTTTAGGTTGACACAACCTTATTTTGCTCGCAATTTTACTGGAAAGACACATATAATTATTCAAGAAGTCGCCCGAGCTCAATTTTATCGCCTTCTTCGAAACCCTTCAGAACATTTTGATATCAGATCAACTTCAGTCAGTTGACGCATGCGCCGACGTTTTTCTGCGGTGCTATATGAGTAAGAAATTATCATATACTAGGATCAACTTCGATGCTCTAATCTATACCAATTAACATCTAATTTTTCATTTGATTTCCTTGTGTAGATCAACCCAAAAATGTGTTACTTGTTCACGACTGGCATTGTAAATCGTGTAATGATGCCACGCATTCACTTGCCAATGTTTTTGGGGGAACAGGACATATCAAATGTTCTCTTGATTTGTGTTCAACAAAAGAGATTGCAGTAGCTGGAATGGGGTGGTACGAAGAGCGATTAAAAAATTGTGAAAAAATTGTTGTTGTTTGTACAAAGGAATCGAAGAAAACTTATTACGAGAATATTGATGGCCAAGGTATGCTCGATAAAATTAAGCACATTATAATATTATTAACTGCGTGTATACGCCATGAAACGATACTCGAATTAATGGATAAATATAACAGTATATCTTGATCAGTCTATTTTATTCTTCATGGTTCTCTGATCAGATCTGATATCTTTCGGGTCCGTTTTACCATAGTTTATTAATAGAATAGATGGTTTTCATGGAAGCTCATTAGAATAACGCTAATACTTATGATCTACAAGGGCGTCAATCTATCCCAAAAAGTGTGTGGGGGGGGGGGACGGACTCCAAACTAGGAAGGTCCGGAGGTATGCTACCCAAATTTTTTTCTTCTAAATTTTGGTAACTGAAACGGAATTTCCAGCGTTTTGGAGGCACTTATAAAGTTATATTACAATGTGCATAATCTTAAATCCATGTTTAACCATGTGAGAAATCCGCTAAAAACCAACATGCCTGCCCTAGCCTGTGAAAAGACGTTAATCTTGACGAAGCCTAACATGTCCTCACCATTATTTTAATGCTAATAATCTATTAAATTAACAACCATTTGCCTAATTATTTTGATGATAATCATCTATGTAAGGGAAAATCAGTTAAAACACAATTATTTTTAAGTATTTACAATTTTACATAACATATGCGATGTCAGTATTTGCTCCCAGCGACTACAGCAAGATCATACGTTGTACTTCTCAGTATTAAATGTCTCCCTTTCAATCACAATTTTTGATGAATACCATACCATGCATTAGGTTTTTAGATAACAAGAAACAAAATTTCATTAAATACGTCAAAAAGTGGGGAATAATTAGATATTCGTCCCCCCCCCCAACTCCGCAAGCTGGGGGGATGCGTCCCCCCATCCCCCCCCCAGGATTGACGCCCATGATGATCTATGTTAGTCAACGTTTATTCATAAATCTGGTCCTTCACTGACGTCACGTGCGTATTGTATTTTTGCCGAACTAACCAATAGCAATGTCTTACGAAAGTCCGTGAAGCATTCAAGTGGTTGTGTTCATGATGTGTATTTTATGCATGTGTGTATTTATGTACGTATTTCGCTGCTTCGAGGTTTGCACCTTGTATGGGACTTCGCGTCCCGTTTACCCTTATTCCATTTGAGTGCATATTAATTATACATAATATATATATTAATTATATATAATTATATATAATGTTAATGTTTTGTTCTCAATAAATATATTTGAAAAAAAAAGAAAAAAAGTTACCTATGTCCGTGACTCGAAAAATAGGATAAACTAACCAATAACAATTTTTTAGGAAAGTTACTTATCCGTGACTCGAACAATAGGGTAAATTGGAAATTGCTATTGGTGGATTTGGAAAACATATAATACACACGTGACGGTCTATATTTATGAATAAACGTTGACTAACATGGATAATGAGTTTTATCGCCTCCCTGCATCTATTAACCACCATCGGCAAACTGTTTGTTAGGTTGAAGCTCGGTTTTCTGTGCTGCGCGATGGCAAGACCAGTCAAAACCTTTATGAATTATGGCATAATTATGGCTATGTGCCAGGTTGTTAGCACATAGCCGTATCTATATATTAACTTCAACATATAGCGTCCAAAAACGGGGAGGAGGGTGGGTAAATCTCTTTCGTCCAATTTCTTGATTGCAGCCCTCGTGAAACATTGCAGCCCTCGTGGAATAAGAAAGGAAAGATGGCCGGCTTCACCACTTATATATACCGAACCTATACGTACAATTCGAATCACGTCAGTATACTTAAATTAACTTGCGCGTGCAAATAACCTATTTCACATAATTAATTTCAACGATAGACTATTCCAGGAAGCAATAAAAACTCTGATCGCTGTGGCAATAAGTTCGTATATTGTTATTCTAATGAGTTTCATGCAAACCATCCATTCTATTAACTATCGTTTTACCCAATTTATCCTTTTTATTCTTAGTTCTGCTGTTTCTGTTTTTTTTATCGAATCTACCCTTATACCCTCCCTCTTTAACCCGCATCATTGTTGCATGATATTGCTCGAATGAAGGTTTTATCCATCTGATGAATCAGCCAGATATCACTACGAAAATGGAAACCCCGCTTATTGGCATTAGCGAAAAACCAGGCTTACAAGCTGCCTGAAACTTGCAAAAAATACTGAATGCGATGTATTTCTTTTCTATGTTTAACTATAGGTTCAAATACCAACATGTGCAAGTCAGCATTTCGGTTTGTACTTAAAATGATTCTTGGTCAAATGTCGAGTGGTAACGACAATGCTATTCAAGTTTTTCCTGTGTGTTTTGACCACTCGTCTAACGAAGATATTCCAAACTTCTTAAGGGATAGACGATATTACTCGCTACCGTCAGACATAAATCCGTTATTGTTGTCTCTTTCTGGCTTGAATGCGAGACAGATAGGCGATATGGCAGAATACAGGTTTGAAGATAGTATTGAATTACAGAGAAAGACTAGTCAATGGAAAAATGCGATTCAAAAGGTTGAAAAAAGTCATGGAAGGGCCCAAGCAGGTTCACTGGTGAGTATGCGCATTTTTAATTATTAATATATACAGTTTTGCGGGATATATATGTTTTGGCCTTATATTCTGATAATAGATAGCATATAGGCAAGGAACGTTATTCACGCAAACGCCGACGACAATCGATGGCGAACGCAGCTCATTTTGAACTGTTGGCGAACGTGAAAGTAGGCTACATTGACTCCTTCGTTAGCATAAAGAACTGCCGACGCCATTATTAACGGTTAATTTATGTACCCATGGATGACGCTTTGGTTGTGAAAAACGTCGCTTGCCTAAAGGCGGTTTTCCACTAGGCGACATTTTTCGACCGAATCGAAATTTTCCTTTGTCTTACAAGCACTCATTTGGAACTAATCAGAAATCTTTTGAATTTGAACAATAGAAATTTCGGTTCGATCGAAAAATTTCGCCTAGTGGAAAACCGCCTTAAGCTCTCTAATTGCCAAACTGTTCCCTTGCACCCATATCTCGTTGTCCGTTTTTCCTCACGTAACCTTTAGAAATGCTATAGTTAGTTTAAAAAAACCCTTTTGCTATATCTCATTCTGATTTCGTCCTGTTACTTATATGCTGATATTTTGCACGCTGTATTGTACTCATGCAAGTGAGCCTTTCAGTATACCAAATATAACAAAAATTCTGTAATGCCAAAAAAATTTTATCGCAGAAGACGACATTTTAACGGTTTTTGAAAAAAATGAAAAATACAGATTTTTTAAAGTTTGTTTATTTTTAGTGCACAAGAAAGTTCGAGTCACCGTCCTATTTTTCCAACTACAAAAAGCAACAAGCTATTTTAAAGTGAATTTAGTACGCGTGTGTTGCCATAGCAACGACTCGTGTGTTACTAAAACTGCCATAATTTGAAAGAAGATTGAAATATTTAAATACATGAACTGCTACATAAAACCTAAAAATACGATGTTCAAACTGTCATATACAGTAAAGCGCAAATAATGGTTGAACAGTTCAATACTTTGGCATGCATATATACAGTATATTTAATGCTTCCAGTGTCAACTGCAATTTATTCTGAGCAGAACGCGTCACTTTGATATGCGACCCACAGACAAATAGGTATTATTATAGAAAAGGTTAGGTGCATACGAATTCGTATAGCTATATATATATATTCACCGCTTAATATTTCTCTGATCTTGTCGACAACAATGTGTATAATTTTTTTGGAATATTTACCAAATTAATTTATATATTAAGAATTAATTAATATTTGTAGATAAATTTCGCGAGGTCATTATCTTCCTCATCTGCAGATGACCCTTGCAGGTAGGTAATAATTTATTTCATCATTCAATTGGCTTGAAAACGTTGAATCCAACATTTTTGCACTATACATTTTTGCACTACATTTTTGCCCTATTATCCAACAAGCTGTCAAATAATGTTTTATACTATTGTTTTCGAAAATATTCTATAAGCAAGTATTTTTAATTTGAATAAATCAAATTATCAGAAGATTCAGTACGAAAAATATAAGCAGAAAATATTTTAATATTAATGTTGCACGATTTTTGGCAAACATTAGAGAGTTTAAGCTTCGCGTTATACGTCAAACGGCAAACTACAGGCAAAGAAAAATTTTAGGGTATCAGGTAATAATTAAAGAGTAAATGAGGCTTGCTGTTTTATAACTGCAATGTATCGTTATTCTTTTGGCACAAGAAAGAAAATATGAAACGAAAACGTTCAACGAAAATTTTGCCAAGAAAGTTCGAACCTGCCGTTTGCCGTTCCCGGAAACGTGAAGCTTAAACTCCCTATTGTTCTGTCCGTTTGGACGGGCATTAGAGACATTTTCTCGAATTTGGCCATGTTGCAGAATCTCACTCCCTTAAACTGAACAAGATTCATATTTGCAAATGATGAAGCAATCGCGGTAATGTTTTGGAACCAAAAGAAAATGGAAAAGTTATTTGCGTATACGTAGAAAGATAAATAAAAGCTCTTCATTTTCGTTAAACTGCATGACGAAGACGGATCATCCTCTTAGATCTAATATAGAATATTGATTTTATAGGTATAACTTTAGCTAAACTAATGCTGTGTATAGACAGGTTATTTTCATTTTTTGATTTTGATTAACGATCAATTTATTTTTCCAGAGTTTGATCGATGATGCTGAAGCAAACTTTTACATCTTCACTGTTTTACTTAGTGCTACTAACCGAAAAGACGGAAAAACAAAAACATCTAAACAAAACAACATGTCATCTACTGACCACCAAAACAAAATGATTTAAAATTAACTTGTTATGGAAGAAAACAGTAGGTACAATAATCAGGCATACAGTAGAGGACAAAAATGAATGAAGTCACCACATAGGGGATAATTCCATTCTGCCTTCATCTTGTGTCTTTAAATTTAAGGCTGGTAACTACATTTCTGTATGTGTCCCCAAATCTCTTGTAAGCTCCTGCATGCCAACACGTTTTTCTTCGATTTTCCTATTAAACCCCTATATTGTTAAAAACGTGAAATTGCAGGTTCATTTATAGAAAAAATAACTTATATGAGTATTAGAAATAGCAGTCATTAGAAAGCTTACAAAAAATTTCATAATGAAACGGTTACCTTGATTTTTCAGAGTTATGAGCTTTTGAAAACATGTTTCCAGACTAGTGCCCAGGATAGTCTATTTTTCACACTTTGGAACAGCAATAACTCGTTTAAATGGCTTATATGTAGTGTTTTGTAAGCTTTCTAATGCTACAAGTTACTTTTTCTATAAATGAATCTGAAATTTCACGTTTTTTAACAATACAGGAGTTTAGTACGAAAATCGAAGAAATTGAAAAACGTGTTGGCAGGTGCCCACAAGGCATTTGAACGATGTCAACATACAGAAATGTACAAGTTACTAGCCTTAAAGGCACAGTATGAGGGCAAACTAAAATTTCCCTTGCTCGGGTGAGTTTTCGCCTCCTACCTGCCTGACTATACATGACAGTCCATGATAGTATAGTTGTTATTTCACATACACATTTAGTATAATTACATAGGTGATTATTGAAAATTCTCCACGCTGATTGGTTGCCGTTAAGGTGATTATAACGCGATAATCACATGACGAAAAAATTTTTTTTCTTCCAAATAATCACCTATGGAATTATACTGTTAACATTATTCACCTCAGGCTCGGTGATTATCGTGAATAAAAACCTCGACTTCGTCTCGGTTTTTATTCAGTGGTAATTACCTCGCCTTCGGCGAACAATTGTTAAATAACATGCATAGCATGCATAATTTATTCATTCATTCATTCGTTCATTCATTCGTTGCTACAGAGGCGTAGCCACGCGGGGGTTGGGGGTTGAGGTGGGGCATGACCTCTTAATGTTTTCATCTATGACATAAAATGTACCAAACCTGTGTTTTTTTTATTACCATAAAACGTATGAACTAGCGTTCCGTATACCCTAAAAGCAGAACTATTTTTCAGGGGACCAATGCCCCTGGACGACACCCCTTGGCTACGGCCCTGTCTATATGTTATTGACTGAGCTTGTTCGGTCCGGACTGGAGGGTATGTATGTCTTGTACATAGAACTGGTGAGGTCTATGATGATACGAACAAGAATAGAACGAGCGTAATATTCTACTGCTCTGTCCGAACAATCTCAGTCAATAAGTTAATATTTATTATATGGCTAAAGAAAGACCAGTCTTGTGTATATACAACTTAATGTTACATTAATTATTTATAGTTTTATTTACTGGAAAAAGAGTAGTTTAAGTTTTTTTCCGTATTAAAGTGGTTTATCTTAGCGGTTAGTGCAATTTACCGACCGCTCAGGAACCAACCAAGATGTTGCATTTCATTGCAGATAGCGACGTGTTTTATTAACTAGTCCTTATCATTTATAATCACAGCAACTTATGACCAAGCTATAGTCCAGTTTCGAGTGCAATTTGGATCCAGAAAATGATTTTGCATTAAAGATGCTGTAAAGTCCGTTCTGCGCATATATTCTGCGCATCAACACATTCCATCAGTGGGGGAGCAACCTTTGGAATGTTGTTAATATTTCGCACCTTCCGAACTTTCTTGAATTGAATCTCTAGTCTGCATTCATTTACAAACATAGCGAACCGGAAGAGTGTTAAAAATTCAGTATAATATATATCTAATCATATTTTACAACTGTAGCACTGAGTTCAAAATGTAAACAAAGCGTTTGTTTACATTACGGACTTTACATCACCTTTAATGCAAAGTGATTTAATTCAGTTTGGGAGCTTTCCATTAAACCTTATTGGAGGAGTGATTATCGTTTCAAATTGCACAAAACTAAACTAACGAGTACTGCATGGCTATATTTTCATTGACAAAGAAGTAAATCGATATAAACAGCTAGATTGTCTATAGGAGTATGTATAGATGAAGTAAGTTTGGTATAAAAGACCAAACAACAATATTTGTATTTTTTAATTAATTAAAAAAATGTTTATATTTTAATGCGTCTGTTTCACTAACAACACTAACGTAATCAAGAACTGGATTTTTGGAAAGATCCACAGCAACTAGCTAGCAAAAGCGATAGATCGACCACAGACGTCTATGCCATATAGAGTCAATAAATTAGGCCATGCTGCATTTACAGGGCATGATTAATCCGACGCATTCCATGTTGTTTGGAGTCGGTTTTGAAGTTTACCGGGCAAGTATTTCCTTCAGCAACAATTGTTTCAGAGATTATAATCAGCTTAAAGAGAACTAATATAAATTTAAATTACATTATCAATCAGCACCCTATTGAGTTTTGCGGCAGGATTGTATTATTCCGAATATATATCCAGCTGGCAGGCACGTCAATCGTGCTTGCCACGCACTATCATTTTGCCTGCATATACATTCATTCATGCCAAGGTAGGTATGTAAATATAGTGAGTGCTGTTGACTGTTCACATGCATGCAAGGTGTTTAATGCATTTCTATAGCGATGGTGGTAAAATTACCTGCAGTATTATGGACATTTGTGACAGTAATGTCACTTCAATGCAGTGACTGCCTGAGTAGCGTTCGTGCGAACCGCAGGATACGTTCCAGTTCCAAGGTAAGCTAAATCTCGTCTGAACACTGAAATTCAATGCGAAATGTTTACATTGAAATATGAATGCATAATTCGATCGATCTCACAACAGTCAGAAAACCTAGGCCAGTTTTGGTCGATTTCTACGTATTGCATATTTTATTTCAAGACACTTAGACGAAATATTTCGTATCTCAAGTAACAAGTTATATTTGTGCCAGCCAGAGCCTAATGATAATCTAGATTAGAGAATAGCGGCAAATATAGCAGATATACCAATTAAACATGTACAAATATGTACAATATAGTAAAAGCGTGGCGTGCCATCTTTTGTACATGTGCATATGTCTAAGCATATGGTGTCAAAGTGTCAAGCATGTAAGAGATCCTGTCAAGGAGAAAATTAGACTTGTAAAACGAGAGTAAAACGAATGAGCGAATAAAACGAACGGGCAAGCTTGGACAAATCCCCTATTTCGAAATCCACACTTTAACCTGAAATATTTGAGCCCAACTGTGAAGCTAAATAATACGACTTAATTGTAGGATAAGTCTATGAAAAAAAATAGTTTGACATGTATCAAAATGACAATGAAAATAATGTCATGAAAATTATTGAACGGCCCGTTCAATATGCCGAATCGTGATGGTTGAGTGGTTATATAACATAATAATACGTACGTCCTTTTGAATTTAGTAAAATTTGCCATGCCCGATTATTAGTTTGCATTATGTGTCCTTGAGACATTATTGTACAATTAGTAATTGTACAATTCATAGTGTGAACTACAGTGAGCTAAACCTTGGGAGCTTTTATTAACCGATCGTATTATCTTGTATACTAACTAGACAACGTGCTAGTAAACTTATCTAGCGGAAAGTCGGAGGCTGATATTTTGAATAAGATAATGTATAAGCAAGATCTTTTTGGTCGATAATATCTGCTCACTTTGCCCCCCCAAGGCATAACTATGGCTCATTCGACCAACCGGACTTTGTGAACAAATTCCAATCAATCTCCTTCATACACCTCCCTTAAAAATGATGCTAGCATGCAACTCATGAGGATTTATGAAAATAATAAAACGTCAAAATATAGTTGTGCAAACAGATTTAAAAATCGTATGCAATTATGCAAGTCTGCTTCAATCTATGTATTTATCTTCGTCTTAAAGTTCCAGTTCGCTTGTAATTAAAATCTCATCTTTAATATCAGCTCGATATAGTTCGCAAACAAATGCTGCGTTTCGGTATGATGAGGGGCAAATCGAAGGGCGGGGGAGTGGTTCCTGGTAGTTATTATTTGTGTGATTATATTTTACATATGTGATAGTATATATTTACATTTTGTTATTTTGCAAGGATATATCAAGACCCGAAATGAATATATCCATATACAATTCACTGACACCAACGTGAACAATTGCTTTAGCGTAAACCATAAAGAAAAAAAAATGACAAACTGAACAACTGACCAACGAAAATATTTTTAAAACAGTACTCGAAATTAAACCCAGTAAGTAAACAAAGCAGTATTGACAAGCCTTTAATGCTTTACTAATTCAATTCATTAGAATAGATTTGATGGACACTATAAACCACTGATAATATAACTTTCTGGCTTATTTTGTGTTTGGCGGAACTGCAGCTTCGTTTAGTAAACAAATCGTTCGTCTGTATAAGCGGGAAGATATTTTGTTTTGGTCCGCAGGTGAATAGTGCAAGGATATTAGAAGCAGAGCAACCAATCATGCCAATCAAATTACACGAAAAGCACTATTCTTCTCCCTAGCTAGTATATCTTAAAACTGTATATTCATCTTATTAAAATTTATTGTTTATGTACTGCGTTGTTGCTTGTCATTTCGCATGAATTTCCTATATCTTATCAATTTCTTAAATGATAACGCAGCATGAAGCACGCCCCCAAACCTAATTATCGAAAGCCCGCCCATTGTGTTGGCGAAAGTAAGGCTTGCATCCACTCCCTCAATTGTGATACACTCGCAATGCGCCTGGTACGACACTGCTCTGATGTGACATTCATTTCATGGTGGCATGAAATGGAACGCATGCAACATTATTTTCTAAAAACAATTCAGCTTCCTGAGTCATAAGGCTCTTTTATTTCCACTCATCGCAAAAACAGCTCGCAACAATTGCAATATGTATAATGTTGTATTTGCAATATGTATAATTGCAATATGTATTGTCATAAGGCTCTTTTATTTCCACTCATCGCAAAAACAGCTCGCACAATTGCAATATGTATAATGGTATATTTTCATAGCAGGGGTTTCGTTAGAAATTCTAATGTAGCAGAAATTCTTGTAATTCCCATCTACTGGATGCTTCATACAACTATCATATTACATCATATAATTAATATGTCATTATTGTTTCCACAAGCAGCTGCTAGAATAATTCATTAGACTGTTGAATATAAATATAGAAAATACAGTCTACTGTGAAATTCATGATCACACAAATCTACATACGAATCAAAACAGGTTTCGCGAATAGTTTGGTCAAACACGCATTTCGTTTCTTTTTCATCAAAATATGAGTTTTACCAATGACAATGTGTTGGGTGCCAGCAATTAAAGACATTAGATTTTCAACATACTGTAATGTTTTATTCTACATGCCTCCTAAGGGGACAATCACATTGGTTAACCCATCAGGTTGAGAAGAAGGAAGGAATTCGAATTAAACAGCCGTTTCTATTCTTAATTTTTGCGGTAGGCAGTCCTACAGTATACATGAAAGATATCCGAGAATTCCGATATCTGGCAATACTAACCTGATCCCAACGGGTGACTTCAAAATATTCAGATATTATAACACTTTGTATCCAAAATCAACAACTGCCACTGCATGAATCCTTTTGCCCCTATTGAGAAGAAAATATTTTACTATAACCTCTTATTGTTCTCAAGACTAACGCAATAAAGAGTAAGATAATCAAACTATATAGGTCTCGCCTTACAAATTTGTTTTCATGAAAAAATGTCATGGACTTTTGGCTTCATTTTTGAACCCCTTTATACCTGAAGCTAGATATATAGCCTACATGAAGCTAAATAAGGAGAATTTCGACGTTCCGAGCGAAGACCCTTCGCCGTCTGTAGTTACTGTGTGACTATATATCATCGGACTGGCGTGTAAAAGTTCTCGGGGTGCTCTATGGTGTCAGAACTAAATACTACTTTGCCCAAATGACAAAACAAAACAACCTCACGAATGGCGTAATAGGAGTTGCATTAAGCCCCTTTAAACGAGGCCAATATCGGCTAGTACCAACATCACTCAACATTGTTGTATGTAAGAGTTTGCTCTGGTTTGAACACTTTTGTTGCATGGTTGATTTTGTAGGATGTTGAATCGGATTCGACTTTGTTAAAATTTTCACTGGTACATAATTTGACAATTACGCGTGATCATGCACTGGCATTCGACGATAACATGTGATCATTGAGCGCGCTCCTCCAACACTGACCAACATTGTTGAACCCGCAAAAATTATGAAACATTGGAGGGGAAATAGACATTTTGCAGCTTGCTGATAGAGCCAAATTCATGTGCAAAACTTAGAAAATACTTTTTCGTCATTTGACTTTAATTCAAATGCCTTCGAGTCCATGCTTTATCGACACTCTTGACTGTTTTACTTTCATCTGTGGAAAAACGTTTTACCAAAAGTTTGGGTATTCCTGTTGATTTTGAGCTTTTAACCTTTCTTAGCTTTAACAACACAAAAACTGGAAAATCTATGTTTTCAAAGTTGTTTATTACTTTTGTTGCTTTATCTAAATATCCCGACTTTGCCTCCGAAAATAGCAATATCCGAGGAAATTTTTTTAGCCAATCAGATAGCATAAATTACCTCCCCCCCCAGCTAGGAAGTGTCAATTTGTCCCTATATATTTTTCTACTAACAACCCACAAACTATTCTTTTTATATAAATCTCTATGGTTGTACCAATAATATTGGACGATGTTCATGGGCTCGTCTGAACGGGGACTTTGCCGGGCCTGAGATTACTGCGTCTATCGCATATGAGCCATGTTTTCTTCCTCTAAAATAGATTATCACAGAGATCATTGAATTGGAAAAAGGGACTGAAGTAACCTATCTCAACTGTTCTACAAATATTAATGGTACAAAACTCAAGGTTGAATGGAAAAAAGATGGTGTAATTATACCTGAATTATATTCCTCGGATGTTTGTCCAATATACGATGCGAATTGTGATGGCAAATACACATGTTTTGCAAGCGGCTCTAATTCGACAGTTATAATTTTGAAAGAATTCGTGGTCAAAATATTAGGTATAATAATAATAAAACTTTCATTAATTTCTGTCACTGACTGATAAGATGTTATTAAAATAATGCATTCGTATTCATGTTTATTATAAGTAATAGCATGGTTTGAGGGAGATTAGTGATTAAATGACCCCGTAATAGCATAGTTGAGTTCCCACTTACGCATGCCCTACTTGCTATCAGATGATTTAAGCTAAAATGATTTGCTTCTTTGCCTGTGGAATGTAAAAGCTTGTTGCACATGCGCACTTTTTACGCTATAATCGGTTACGCATGCGCAATCTATCATTTAACGTACCACAACAAACAAAATAAATATATCAGTATAAAATTGGAGACTGCACAAGCGTAATTTAAATGATGCAACAACTCAGGGATCGGATGATAGATTATTGACGGATCTGAGCTAACTGTTGCTGTCCCTTGCACGATTATTTGCGTGAGGCACTTGCCTAATTGACCGGGCGATAGTGATGGGTGATACCAGCTTTTTTGGTTTCGATACGACACCAGTCCGATACCATGAATTTTGATCGATACCAAAATCGATACCGATACTCAATTTTTTCCATTTATTTACATTTTACTCAAATACAACATATAGCGATAAAAATACCTTGTTTGGTACATTTCTGATAAAAATCAGACAAAAAGAGCAAGGATTATAAAAGGATGGTTTAAATATATGACGGATTGTAAACACTTTCCAGATCATCTATTCGTCCCGAAAAATGGGTCTTTGAGTTGAGTTTGAGTACATTAGGAGTGAGGTTAGGGTTAGGATTAAGGTTAGGATTAGGGTACTAAGTCATTGAACTACAAAAACCACTAAACAGTGACTCGGACATTTGACTCGGGCTCGGTTTGACTCGGGCTCGGATTTGACTCAGACTCGGATTTGACTCGGTTAACCGACAAACTCAGTCCAACTCTAACACAACTGCATAAATTTATCATTCCCGTAAACCTTATAACGCTATTTGCCGAAAACATGCATCCAGGGTGTGACGAACGCGCCAGTCTGATCAAAAGACAAAGCCTGGAACTATGGTTGTGAACAAATGTGTAGAATGATTCTTTTGACATCAGAGAGAAAATTAATATGAAGCGACGTATAGTTAAACGAAAATTTCGCCGCCAAACGTGAAGCTTAAACTCCGTTTAATATATCTTGCAGGTAGATTAGCCCTTACGAAATGGTTAGATACTATGCCCCATCCACATACTTCCACCTTCTACATGCAGTTAGTAGTAAGTTTGGCAAATGCAACGGCAACGTCGTCATGCATTAACAACAGAATTTTTACTGTCAAGACCAAGCGCATGATATGTGTTACAATTTTTCTTGCAACTTGTAACCCTGTTGTGTAACATCCTTATTTGGCAACTGGCAATTTATTTATTTGTTTATTTAGCTTTGCCAACTAGGGCAGGGTGACCACAACAGCATGTGCCAGTTACTGTGGGCCCTTTTTACCTAACCCACCCTGTTAACTTTCCCTGTGGGAGGAAACCGGAGTACCCTTGGAAAACCGACGAATTTCGGCAGAACGTTGACATTTTCTCTTTTCACTTGAGGACTGGGTTCGGGTCGCATTAAGAAAGTCCTCGCTGAGGCTTGTACCTACGGCCTCAGAGGTGAAAGACAAGTGCGCTAACCATTTGGGCACCAAAGCCCCCTAATGGAATGAGAAAATGCATTGCGAGTTGCAGTTGCAAAGAAGGTTGAACTGGTTTGTACTTTTCGCAATGCCGCGCGACAAGTTGCAACCTGGATCGCAATATTTGAAAAATTAACCAGTCACAACACAGACATGCCACTGCAAATTGCAACATTCTTTTTGGAAAAAAAATGTTGGAAGAAAAAATTGCATCGCGTAGCATGGCCTTAAGACAGAGGTGTTATTTATTTCGCTGCTTATTACTTATAGAGTTCGAACAAACATATAATATCAGACAAATACTATGAGAAGCACTAATTTTATTCCTTAATCTGTTTTTACAATGAAACTTTAAAACCACGCAAGATAATTCACCATGTGGAAACGCTGGAGAAGGTATTGTTGGTATATTTACTTAGGTTCAGGTTTGGCTTCCACTATACCGTTACCATTGAGCGACCATTAACCATGCAATTCGATGCATTAACCAATCACTAAGCCAGTGAGAAGTAGCAGTAGTGGAAGTCAAATCTGAACCTCTGTATTGTTACACTTGAGACGTCATAATTTTAGAACTAATACTACATTACAATATACTCGTGATATTATGCTGCGCGTTATTGTTCACTCGGTAATATGATAAGAAGAAAATGTTCTCGAGTGAGATATATCATACCGCTGTCTGGACATTATTATACATATCTATATATATGCAGGCAAAACATACATATAAACAAAACTATAATCAGAAAAGAGCACATTGTTTGTTGTTATTCCAGACATTCTCTCTCCCTTTACTGGCAGAATTTCAACTTTTCACAAAAAAGAGTTTTGGGCACAACTCGCCCCTGGCTACGACACTGAAATAATATTGTTTTTTGTGGTTTCGTTAAACAGAATTAGTGCAGAGAAGTGAAATATGCATCGTCCCTACTACACAAGACTATCCATGTTGCCACTACCATATCCCTCCACCAGGAATGTTGCGTTTGAGTCGAAAAATTTCCAGTGATGTTAAGAGCAAATGTAAGCTGGATACATTAAAAAATCCAACACCATGGCAAATTGATGTGGCATGGAATTTAACGCATAATGGTAAATTTTAATCAATCTTTTACTTTACTATTTCTTTTTAGTGCATCAGTTTATTGTTCATACGTAAATGTCTAATGTATCAGTCACTATTTACAGACTACTACTATATAACTACCATAAAACTATATATGTCATTCCGAAGAAAGTGTGCATTTAACACATCAAACAACACATCTATTGCACATGAAATAAAATGGACACCTTTTTCGGAATAACATTAGTATTATAAAACTTCCAAACTTTGGAACTTTGGAAGCTATTGATCTGATGAAATTTCAAAATGCATATCACTCTCTATATATAAAGTTTGGAAATGTTTTTTGTTCGTTTCATGAGTCTATGTACAGTTGAACTCTTATTAAACACATTTTCCGTGGATTTGCCCGTACGTCATTTTTACTCGGTTCTCTTAAACTCGAATTAGTAGGAAAAAATATATATTATGTGCTTATTGTATATTTCACAAATATAAGTCGTATCATTGGGTCTTTGGAACAGTCACGTAAATTTCAATGCAATGCAATGCAATACAATGCAATACAATGCAATGCAATGCAATGCAATGCAATGCAATGCAATGCAATGCAATGCAATGCAATGCAATGCAATGCAATGCAATGCAATGCAATGCAATGCAATGCAATGCAATACAATGCATGCAATGCAATGCAATGCAATGCAATGCAATGCAATGCAATGCAATGCAATGCAATGCAATCCAATCCAATGTAATTCACTTCACTTCAATTCAATTCAATTCAATGCAATGCAATGCAATGCAATGCAATGCAATGCAATGCAATGCAATGCAATGCAATGCAATCCAATCCAATGTAATTCACTTCACTTCAATTCAATTCAATTCAATTCAAATCAAATCAAAATAATAAAAATTCAAAAGCATGCACGAGCGTTTAAATTATTTTTTATCAACCTTTGTCTGTGTACGTGACGTTGATGTCGATCAAGGACATAAAAATCCTAATTTATTTGTTTTAAATACATTATTGGATGGTGACCAAACGGTAGGAGTGCGAACGGGACCCGAGGTCCCATGCGAGGCACTCCTCCGATTAAAGATACAACAACAGACAATACATGTAGAATAAAATGTTTTTAAATAAATAAAATTATTTGAGATAAGAAAACACTTGAAAGAGCAGGAAAGCATATATGATTAAATAACTATTTTAATGGTTTTGCCTGTAATATGCCGCACAAAAATAATATACCTAACTTCCCTAAAAAATTATATTCCTGCAATACTCCTACACCATTATAAATGTCTTCTATTCAAACTATATTTTTTGAAACCAAAAATGGCTATTCGAGGAAAAAATTTCCTACACAATTCCTTCGAAATCGTTGCAAAACAAACGTTTTCCGTCACCAATTTTCTCAACCGTGGTTTCAGTGGCAAAACTTGCCATGGCAAATGCTAATAAACCTGTACCAAATTAGTTTAAAGACAATGAATTATGTATAGGTTTGAAAAATACAATAATTTAAAAATTTGCATAGCATGCGTTATGATCCATGATTGAGTAGTCAATCAGAATGCTGCATCTTGTAATAAACTGTGATGGTTGAGTGTTACAAGTATTAAATAAATTTAAGTTAACGCTTATTCCTAGAGGCCGAGTAAGGACCACCCCTTATATAGTTATTAATTGTTTCTTCTAAATTAGCTACATGGATATGGGGTTGGCAAGTCAGCCTTAGTGGACTTGACAACTCTGTTGGTGTTAAAAGATGTGTCCAAATCAATAGTAAGGTAAGATTGCGTCTTTCTTTGGTGTACGCAAGCATCCATAATTGCTTTGGTGTGCGCAGGCATGCTTCTAACTACAAAAATATATTGTCCGTTTTATAATAACTTTCTTTAAACCAGATAAGCATGCAGCTACAATATTTGACATAACTCTTGAGAACATTCCGGCCAATCTATATTGTAAAGTTACTGCACATGCATTGACAAAACAAACCTTGGCTCCACCTTTCCCTCAGTTCAATGCGGAAACAAATTTTAATATTTTACCATGACACAAGCTCAACATTGTGTTGATGAAGTGGACCGGGGGATTATAAAACGCAACATGAATTGACATGGAATTTATCATTATAGGGGTATACGAATTTTGTATAGAGGGAAAGGTAGTCTTAACCAGTTATATTCAAGATTGTAGAAATAGCACCTCCCTTCCCTCCCCTCTCCTTTCCTCACCCTAACACAATATTATTGAAAAAATTATTATTCTATATGATTTCTTGCGCACACATCAGTATAGTACAGGGAGTAGGGGGAAGGGTGGGATTTTTGAATTCCATGATTACAGAAAGTGGCAGAAATTAACCTATTTGCACTCACTATTTAATGGCTGATTTAGCTTTCCAGGTTAAAATTTCCGACTAATTGTTTATTTTACGTAAAGGAGGTTTGACTAATCTCGCAACGAAAATTTTGGTTATGTACAAATGAACATCCAATGAAAATGCTAAAAATCTAACAGCTGAATGCTAAATTATAATTAAGAATTTGATTTATTAGAGTAAATTGCTGAACTGGACATTTGATGGTCTACCGTTTGGGAGTAAATACGAGATCAAAGTGCAAGCGTTACCATCAGATTTAACAAATTACATTCACGAAACTATTGTCCTTCCAAGAAAGAGAGGTATGCAGATGCAACATTATACAAATAATGAATGTTTTTATTCGTGCAATAGTAACAATATATTTTCATTCGGTGAAAGATGGAAATGTTCCATTCAACGAGGCGACATATATATAATACCAAAATAGACTAATATTGAAAGGTTTACTGTAAGCTCCCGCCATTTTGACAAGTCGTATTTGCATTAAATCCCATTTACTGAGTTAAATATATCGGGTTAGAATAAATTGCGATCACAGTACGAGAAGCATTTAACGGATGCGATTTATTGAAAACACAAAGAGTGCAATGGAATAAAACGTATAGTACAATGCACTCGCAAAGAGTGCAATGGAACGTATTCCACTCTTGTAAAATGGAATTTTCTATTCAATATCGCGTGACCATAAACAGTCAATTAAACGATCAGAATTCAATTGAATAAGGTATTAAATTAAATAATATAGTTTTTCTAAACACATGCACAGATTATTTGATTCTCTAGCTTTATCATGCATATACAGCTATTTCAATTAAGATTGTCCCCGAGCAAAGCGAAAAAGTTGAATACGAGCGCGAAAGGCTTGCTGGGAATCGCTAACAAAGTCATTAATTGTTTAGCGATTCCCAGCAAATCTTTCGCGCTCGTATTTGACTTTTCCGTTTTGCACATAAATACATAAACAGTACGATCAGAAATTGCTTCCACAACTTGACAGCTAAGATAGGCTTGCTCATCTTAGTTGTCGATTTCTGGTCGTGTGTAAGACAACGAGCTCGTTATTTACAATTGTCAATGTCTACAATGATATTGTGTACATTTTTAAAAGATTGGACAAAAATAACATATATTTAGTGCCTCAGCCAAGAGGGAGGGGCAAAGTGGCGGGGAAGGAGGAGGAGGCTCTGCTCACCAAAAACCTCCATGCATGCAGAGCTGTAGTTCTTCTGAAAAGTTGAAATGGGAAAGCGCTGCAAGATCTGAAGTTGCTAAAAATACGATATAAAATTAATATTTTTAAGGATATTGTTTGTTTCAAAACTCGCGCTAGAATGCGAGAAATGCTGCTAGAATGCTAGAATGCGAGAAATGCTAGAAACCCTATAGAAATTATAAATTTCTCCCGGGCGCATGCTTACAGGCATCCTTAGATCTCATGTTCGGAATTAATGTTTACTGAATATTCTCCACCCCACTCCCCCCCCTCCCCAGAAATTAATAGCGTGCATGAAATATTTTTTCGTCGTCAAGTCACGCTTTCCTTCTTTTAACATTTGTCTATTTCCAGATATTTGCAAAAAGATTGGTCGAAAATGTCATTGGGAAATATGCTGTAAGTCATGATGGATCTATGAAAATTGATTATATCTACAGTGCGGCCCTATAAAGAAACACAAATTCGTTATCTTTGTATAGTCGTTTTCAGACAATACACTGATGTTTAAGGAAAGTAATTTTCATCGGCTCTATTTGACAATCGCTTTTGCGTTCAGAACAACGAATCAATTGCTTCGTTCTCAGAAAACCTCAGCCTAAATCGGTCAAATGGAGCTCTTCTGAACAGCTTCGGCTGACCCTAGTTATGAGCTAGCTCATCATGTTTCAAAGATATTAGACTGAAAGGTACTGAAAAAGAATTGAATTATACATGGCAGGCTTTAGAACATCCTGTAAAGAAGAGTGAAAATCCTATGTTATATAATGCCTCAACATCCTAAAGAGAAAGAACGACTGAACAAAAAACACGAACATCAAGAACATTCTTGATCTTTGGAAGGAAGCCAACATGCTCTTTAGGGAAAGGGAGTAAAGGAAAAGACATTCTGAAACCAATAAATGGCCTTCTTTATGCACTGACAATACTGTTTATGTCAATTATGTACATTATATATTATAGCGTCGATTTGTGAATTTGATAATTTATTTTGGTTGTTTTGCTAAAAAACCCTCCCCTTAAAACTTAGTACAAATTAACGAAACAAATACACTCGTCGTACGCAGCCAATTGAAATTCAACAAATTTTTGGTAAAGTTATTTTGGTTGTTTTGCTAAAAAACCCTCCCCCTAAAATTTAGTACAAATTAACGAAACAAATACACTCGTCGTACGCAGCCAATTGAAATTCAACAAATGTTTGGTAAAGTGAATAATAATCTGTATAATCATCGACCTGACAAGCAGCAAACATAATTAAATTGCTGATTTCTTCTTCTTTAGTTCCTGTAGAAGATGTGCAACAAGAGGAAATGTCTTCAGTCCTAACTTGGCGCCTTTCAAAATACCATAAAACACTGCACGATTTTGAAATATATTACAGTAGTAGTGATGTCGATTGCAGTGACAGTGGAAGAAGAAAAGTTCAGGTAAATTGAAATTTAGGAAAAGCATTCAAAACTTTGAACTGTGAGATAACAGTATTGAATTATAGTAAAGTTGCACTAATGATGGCAACGTAATGTTTTGTAATTTTATGGTTTACGATTACAAAGTATTGCTTTTTCATTTTAGAATAAAACGCGCACTGTTCTGAATATACATAAATGCCGACACTATTATGTGAAAGTAAGAATCATTAATTAAATATATGATATAATTATGCGCAAGATACGGTGCAGTGCAATGATGTTATCTAGCTCAATTATCTCATTGGTAAATAATTCACTCTTCTCGCTATATTTTGGTAGCAGAACATGATAGCATTTATATTTTTACAGTTTTAATACTTTTAATTTAATTTAATTTAAAAATGACGTATTGGTAAGCGTAATAAAATTGTTATATTATTTACTATTTCACTCAGGTCCGACCAATCTTTTCTAATGCTGAAGAAGGAACATTTAGTGAAGCAATCATGTTTTCTCCCCCTCGAAGACCAAATAAAGGTGTGAGAATGCATATATCCCTTACGAAAATCAACACTATTTTAACCCTATTTTACTTTTACTGAATCGGTGAAGCACAGATTAAAATAGGTTTAAAATAGGATAAAGTATATTTAAAATAGAGTGCAAAATAGAAATAAAATAATAAAGTAAAGTGTAACATTGGTAATAAAATAGATTTTAAATATACATAAAATAGGTTAAAAATAGTCGAAAATACATATAAAATAGTGGATCAACTGCAGTATATTAACTAAAAATAGTAATAAAATTACTGCAAAAATAGTAATAAAATAGTTTAAAAATATGAATAAAATACTCAAATAGTAATAAAATAGTAGAATTTAAAATAGTGATAAAATAGCGAACAACATAGTAAAAAAATAGTTTAAAATTCTTATAAAATAGTATAAAAATAGTCAGAAAGTAGTAATAAAATAGTTATAAAATAGCAATAAAAGAATAGTAAAATAGTCATAAAATAGCAATAAAATAGTCAGAATGTAGCAATAAAATAGTTATAAAATAACAATAAAATAGCTATATTAAAATAGTAGCACTGCAACATAGTTACTTTATAAAGTAATAAAATTGTAGTATGATAATTAAAACCAGTTAAAAAATAGTAATGAAATAATATCAAATTAGCTGAAAACTAGCAATGCAGTACCATGGTTGACAGGTATATTATCGTTTAAAATTGTATAAAATAATACACATAAAACAGTTTGTATTCTTATTAGCTATCAATGCTAGGTTGTGGCAGTTTAAGGGCGGCAGGGGTGAATGTGGCAGTTTAAGCAGTGTCAAATCAATGGCATTGTTTACCACAGTCAGAGTTTCCAACGTTTGAGTAACTGTAAGGAATCTATTACACGACTGGGTTTCAAATCAATTGCAGGATGAGCAGTCTAGTAGTCTACTAGCAGTTAGACCCATGCCACCAAGCATCTTGCAGATCAAGCAGTTATTGCCAATACATGCGAGCTTAATTGTCGGTATTAAAAGGTGAAAAATGGGCAAGCAGACCGTAGTCGATAAGCAAAATTGTCTAGCTTGAGACCTCACAGTTAAATATTGTGTGCAGAACTTAAAGTAGGGAGTGTTAAGGAAAATTACATCTAAATATGTCAACATAAAACATCATGGGCATGAAACATCATGAGTCTAGCTGGACACTTTCCTTGGCAAATAAAATTGTCCAACATTAGGCAAGATACAAAAACATTTAAATATTAAAAAACTGCTGAAAATTTTGCACTTCGCAGTGAAATGGGTAATTTTATTCAAAAAAAAAAAATTAGTTCACCCTTGTCGTGACTAATTGCCGGGGTGTCTCTAAAGATATATATAAAATGTAGCCCAAAGGTTGTTACATATATTATTAAGCAGATCATGCAGGTGGTATAGATAAATGTATTCATATATTATAAACTTTGAACAAGCAAACAACTTTAGGACTTTGACTGTTTCCAGTTAGAGCACTTCCATAATCAAGTTGCCACACAACAAATTGATCAAATTGACATTTTTACCTATTAACCGACCCACCCAGCATTAAAAAATTCAAGCATGGCATACAAAGGAAATTGAAATTAACCCTCTATACCCATTCCATTGATATCCTAGTGCATTGTACCCTCTGATGTTAGACATGGTAAAATCAAACAGCACTGAAAGAATCCAGCTTTGACGCAACCAACACCTGGTGTTAGACTGAGGGTGAAAAAAAAAATAAAGTAGGGTATATAATAGGCTCAGATTCCAGCCGTTGTGTTCTCGCCACTCGCCCACTTAACGGCTGGGTCAATGGTTAATATTTCTTGTCTGTGACGTCAAGGTTAATATTTAAATTTATGCATATATTTTTCATAATTATGTATTTCTGTGCAATGTAAAATGGCGGCTGTCAGGAGCGAACAATTTTGTTTCGAAGAGGAAATAGCAAATTTTAACAACTTTGTGCATTCATCGATAACTTCTTTGTAAAGGAAAACAAAATGGAAGCTTTTAAGTTCATTTGACAAAATGTTATTAAGTTCTAGTATGTTAACGAAGACAGGAACTGCAATGTATACGAGTCAATGAATATATTATATATCTAAATAGTAAAACAATAAACCCTACCAACAAAAGCAGGTGAATCTAAATAATTAACGTCTTATTTTAAACAGTTTTTCAATGAATATTCTTTGAAGAGGAACATAAATTTAATGTTAATATTTGAGTTGTTTATATAGACTATAGTTATACGTAATGAAATTTTACGCCTTGTGATTAATATCTAAAAATTTTCCTTATGATCGATTTTCTTCGAGGGACAGTGAAGTCTTTTATAGACCAAACAATAGTCTGTCAAGATATGATCATTATGATGTTCTGGAAGCCTGCAAACTTCAAAGCTACAAAATAGAAGACCTAGTGTTTGATGTTGAACTGTACCTTACTGTGCACCTTCATAGATTTGGTTAAACAGTCTTTTGATGTAGCAAGAATATTTAAAATTTAAAATGTTCTTGGCTTTATTTCGGTGTTGTATAAGTTGTCTGTACAAATGGAGGCCGGGTGTGCTCATCGACCCATATATGGTTCAGTGTATGACTGTTGACCAAGTCAGTAATCATTTGTAGCTACACACAGCAGTGAGGGGTATTATTGTGGTAATGGTGACAGGATATTGCCTTTCCAAATTGAAAAAAAATGATTTGATGAAATAACCACCCCCCCCCCACCTTACACCCCTTTGCCAATGTTAAGGGGGGTGCATCCCCATGGCAGTAAATACATCCAGGGATGGATCCAGCATGATCTGGTGGGGGGTGCTCTGCCAGCTCTGGTGCCGAGTTGTGTCGGTCATGTGTGCCACCCGCCCATCAACTTGCTTCACTACTGCAAAGTCCTGCTTGACTACTGTATTTAAATTGTAATTGTTGTTCACATTTCACTTATCATCATGTTATTACTCAAATTACTGTTTTAGCAAATATACTAGATAGATATAAGTAGAATATAATATAATGACATGTCTTGCAAATATAACGACATATCTTGTGAAACACTGGTGAAGGTGAATCGTATTTGATTCAAAACATACAGTTTTTATAAATTGTGTGTTAATTACTGTATTATATATATTATATATATATAATGCACTCCTTATTCAGAATAACTTTTATTCTATGACTATTGTAACTGAGACATGCACACTTAGCTGGGATATGCCTAGGTATTTATAAGCATATAAAGAATTGAGGATTGAAACTCGAGTAGATGCCAAGCTATAATATATTATTTAATTTTGATACAAGAAACACTGCCACTGGAATCTGTCATATATTACACAACTATTAACTATTTGGCATTAGTTACAATAAACATAATTTAATATAAAGACTGAGTCAAATGTATTAATCTTTGAATTAAGCTATTGTTTTATATCATCGTTTTAAATATTGTCGCGGCAAATTCAAATTTTAAGCCGAAACATCAAGCAGCTGCACGTGCATTCTCAAAATTCACGAATCAAGATTGAAGTAGAAAATATTTCCCTTCAAAATTGCTCTATTATACACAAACATAACAAGATTCTTAGCTGGATATTACTCAGTCATCCCTGATGTTTCATCTTTGCTTATTAAGGCTTCATCGGCTCGTAATATCGAGCGAAATATTACTTCGAAATTGTCGCGGCAAATTCAAATTTTAAGCCGAAACATCAGAGGTCATCAAACACGTGCATTCTCAAAATTCACGAATGAAAAAAGCAAATATTTCCTTTCAAAATTGCTCTATTATTCATAAAACATAACAAGATTTTTACCTGGACATTACTCAATCATCCCTGATGTTTTACCTTCGATTATTCACGGTTAATAAAGCTTCATCGGCTCGAAATATCGAGCGAAATATTGTAACTTCGAAATCACGAACTGATTATAAAAAATATGGCTGGGTCACTGAGCTATAAATATATGGAGAGCGCAACTATAGATACAGAAATTGAAGCCGGAAGTCGCGCGCGGCCGCCATCTTACTGTGACCACCTTGAGGAGTGAGCTATTGTGATTAATACGGTATTTTCAACTGTTTTGTTCTGTTATCTCGCAATAGAGGAATAAATCAAGTCAAATATGGTATTTTAAGCAAAAGCACATGTTCAAGAATGTTGGGGACCTATTTTACATTCAAATGAACTGCAGCCTGCAGGCCTTAAAATATCGGTCGGTCACGGAGATTGTCCGACCCATTCGTGAAATTGTCCGACGTAGAGAGGAAACCACCGAACATTCTGTCCGACCACGCCGGGTCAGCTCTTCCCAAAAATCGGCCATTTGATATAAACTTTTTCAATATATTTCGGATGGACATGAAACTTGCTACATCAATATAACTTTCCATTCCGAACAATTGTATGTTTTTTATTTTTGAGATTTAACGGTTTTTGGCGGGAAAATGACGTCACGAAACCTCCAGTTAAAATTTACTTTCAATATCTTAATAGTTTTGTCGCAGAATTTGGAAGAACATGTCATGAACAGTTCAAAACTGAAAACGGATTTTAAATATCTAAACCTAATCCAAAGTTATTTCACTACAAAAACCGTGAAAAATCTAAAAATAGTAACAAAATGGTGGAAAATTCGATTCTAAACTCCCTGTATCTCGTGATTAGATTAAGATATTTAAAATCTGTTTTCAGTTTTGAACTCTTCATGACATGATCTTCCACATTCTGCTTAAAAACTATTAAGATATTGAAAATAAATTTTAACTGGAGGTTTCGTGACGTCATTTTCCCGCCAAAAACCGTTAAATCTCAAAAATAAAAAACATACGACTGTTCGGAATGGAAAGTTATATTGATGTAGCAAGTTTCATGTCCATCCAAAATATATTGAAAAAGTTTATATCAGATGGCCGATTTTTGGGAAGAGCTGACCCGGCGTGGACCCAAGTGAAACTGAGGTTTATTGTTTGTCCGACCCAAGTGAACTGGTGTCCGACCGAACTGTAGCTTTGTCCGACGTAAATCAAAATGTACCCTAGCCCAGGACTAGAGGCTTGTATGTTAAATGGAAAATAGCGTACCATTGTATAAAAGGTGAACTGCAAATTGTTGTTTTAACGTAGTCGAGCGCGGGGCGGCGAGCGAAATGGTGAAGTGGAAAACGGGCTTAAGTAGTCGAAGTCTTTTAACACTGCTGTTCTGGCAAGCAAGTTAATTTTGGCTTGGAAATAAGTATGAAAGAAACAAATTATTTAACATCTTTACAACATTTACCGTTAATTCATTTGTGTCATTCAGACTTATTTCCGAGTCAAAACTGAACTGAAGGTCATCGGACATATGTCCGACCCAAACTCAGCGTCACCGGACATTTTGTCAGACGGCCCTGTAAAATATATTTTAAGGCCTGATGAACTCAATCGTAAAGAAACGTGTCTATATTTTTGACGACGTTTCTGAGTGCGACTGAGATGAATCATGAATACAGTCGTGACAACACCGTTCAAATGGGAATTTCTGATAGAGATCGGTGAATTATACCATAAGTTAACACATGAGAAATGAGGAAATTGGTCGTGAACTTTATTGTTTTGGAAATGGTGAATTTTAATATGGACAAGATCATAATATTAATACAGTATACTCATATCACCGCAAACAAATTATGTCGCTTGTGGGATGTGTTAAAGGAACAAATGATTCAGGATGGTAGAAAAAATAGCAGGTGCGTTGTAGTGAACTTATTTATGTTAATGGTGGGTGCTTAAACGCAATGCCTTGTGAGAATATATACCATCCCATTTCCCATCCCTGCTTGTGTAATATGTTCCTTATTAATAAAGTCATAGTCGTGATTAATTATCACTCTTCTGAGAAGACCTCAATGGTGTTTTATTCCAAAGAAGCAGATTGAAATTAATAAATTTGAAAGAAATTGAAAGTTGTAAAATAATGGTATCTCATTTCTGTGCTTTTTAGATCCTATATAGAGACAGTATAAAGTGAAGATGGAACAATGCTGCAAACAGTTACTTTCAGTTGCATGTCTATATTATATGCATTATATTGCATTGTGTAAAAAACAATTTAATTGTAAAGGGTCTCTAGTATTATAGGATCTGTGTGAAATTCCAGTAGTTTGTTGCCAAATACTCATTTAGTGTGTTTTGCCAAATAAAGTTTAACTGCCTCGTATGAGGTAAAAATGGTTGTAACAAAAATGCAGGTTGAAATCAAGCCTTCAAAAGCATTTAAACCCACATTAATATTTGCTCTATCTAGTGCCAAATGATTTTACTCATTAGTTAATTACTGTAATACCGGTACTGCTTAACAGAACTCATCTATCTGTATACATGGTCATTACTCCACTGTTGTCACTGCTTTGTTTTTAGGAGCCAACCATTTAACTTTTGAGGGGGGGGGGGAAGGGGGGTGATTTTGAAAAAAATTCCTGCAAGGCTATTCTGAACAAAAAAAATACCTGCACTAACAAACTGAGGGAAAAAATATCCTGCCTGGCATTATTTGGTGGGAAAAAATGTTGCAAAACACCATGGTTGCAGGGATCGATTTGACCAGTCACAGAAGATCAGCTGGTTTGATTTTGAGGGACTAGTGTAAGGTTAATATCTTGTTGGAAAACTTCTCAAAGTGAGCTTCAAGAAATCCAAAATTTTCTGGGAAGGCATGCCCCCAGACCCCTCTAGAGGCTCTCACCTTTGGTGATTGACTCGGTTGTCTTAGAATCCTAGGTATGGCCTGATCTGCTGCCCTATGGCGCATACTTATTAGTTAAACCATAAATACATATGCTGCAGGTAGCTGCAGCGACACAGACTTGCCGACTAGAACTTCTCCCGGTCCCCCACTAAATATGTCCCTTCCACTTACACATCCTTACAGGGCCGTAGCAACCAGGGGGGTTGCAGCCCCCCCTCCCCAATAATTTGCTAATAATCATTTTTTTCAAAATCATGCAGACCTTTATCATTTAATCCATGACAAACTGCAAAGAATGAAGATATTACCCATACTTTCCTGCAACTTATCCAATATATAGTTAAATACGCCTTTGTCCATTTAGTGCTACTAAATTGTAAATTTCAACATACTAAAACGCTGGTTTCTGACCATCAGAATTCTGTCAAATCTACCCCCAAAGTCCAGGAAATGGCATTTCAGAGATTTTACATTTAAAAATTTCCTCAGTCCTTCGGCCCTCGCTTTCAGCCCCCCGAATCAAAAAGAGCTTCCTATGGCCCTGCCTTAAAAGAGGTCCTGAACCAAATGTTATACCTCATAGCAATATGTATTATTAAAAGCAATGCATGAAGCTAGAAAACTCAATGTTAACTATAATTAAAGAATCTAAATAGTATAAGCTATTGAAAAAAAATGCTGCAAAAGAAAGAGTGGTCAAAAAAAAATCGTACATGGTGATGGGATAGAAGAAAAAAACTTGCACATAACGATCCCAGAAAAAAAAATTCCCTGCCAGCAGTAAATCACCCACCCCCCTCAAAAGTTAAATGGTCGGCCCCTCAATTCATTTGTTTCTTAATAGTTTTGTCTTTCTGTTACTGTAAAATGACTAAAGTAAAAGTTTGTAAGCAGTACTGTAGTGTATTTTAATGCAATTGTAATGTGTGTAAGCGTGTGTCAAGCAGTCAGTTTCATAAAATATACATATTATGCTGTTTATTAATTGATCTGTATTTTTGAGGGGCAGAACATATAACAATGTCACAATTTCTTGAAACCTAAAAGCCTGATTTACTCCATGAAGAAAAGACAAAGCTAAAATGATCTCAGCAGGTTGCAGTATTCAGTCAACAAACAATGTTTTATAACCAATACATTTTTTTGTGATTAGGCTGATAGATTTATCCTATTTATTAAAAGTTTATATATATATACAATTTTATATTGTGACTGAACAAAAAATGGACGCGAATGTTGTAAATGGCTTAAAAAACGACTCATCTTATGAGTTCATTGGTGAAGTAATTTTAAAAATAAACATTGTCTATAAAGCCGAGAAAATCAAAGTTAAAGTTTATGTAAATCAACACACAAAATGAGTATTTGGCAACAAACTACGGGAATTTCACACAGATCCTATAATACTGAGACCTTTTACAATTAAATTGTTTTTACACAATGCAATATAATGCATATATAGACATGCAACTGAAAGTAACTGTTTGCAGCATTGTTCCATCTTCACTTTATACTGTCTCTATAGGATCTAAAAAGCACAGAAATGAGATACCACTATTTTACAACTTTCAATTTCTTTCAAATTTATTCATTTTAATCTGCTTCTTTGGAATAAAACACCATTGAGGTCTTCTCAGAAGAGTGATAATTAATCACGACTATGACTTTATTAATAAGGAACATATTACACAAGCAGGGATGGGAAATGGGATGGTATATATTCTCACAAGGCATTGCGTTTAAGCACCCACCATTAACATAAATAAGGTCACTACAACGCACCTGCTATTTTTTCTACCATCCTGAATCATTTGTTCCTTTAACAAATCCCACAAGCGACATAATTTGTTTGCGGTGCTATGAGTATATTATGATCTTGTCCATATTAAAATTCACCATTTCCAAAACAATAAAGTTCACGACCAA